GATCCGAACTTTTCATTGTACATTTTCTTTTTTTACTATGTTGTACCTCCGTCCCATATAGTAAGGAAAGACGACCAGACGCTGCTACACTTAGTAAGCTATCAGAAGAGTGTTTACCAACGACAAAGTCGTTGGGTTTAAACTTCTGGCTGGCCACGTCTTAGGGACATCACTGCCCCACTAGGGGGGGAGTGATCTGTAGCGGTAAATAAATCCCTAAAATAAATAGCTCTGTAAGTTTTCGACATTGGATGCTGACCATATGTTTTAGTGGACTCATCTAGCTGAAGGCGCTCGGTCAGGCATCCGCACCAGATCACGTGTGGTAACGCCGTGCTCAACATCAATCGCAATCGCTAGCCAGATTAGATCAGAGAATTCCGATATATTGGTCATCGCCAAATATACTCTTCCGATCTCCTCGACTCTGTCTTTTGATTTCTCTGGGTGGGAACAAAATATATTAGAAGGTGTTACTGGTAGAAGCGTTGTCAAACACTGAATACCTGTGACATCATCAAAGCGTTTAGAAGCGGCAGCCTTGCAGGTACTCGTACATTTGATGTCGTTGCTTATTACGACTCCTAGATCCTCAAAGTTCACTACCCTAGGTAGTAAGACTCCAACTATTGTGTGGTGCTGCGAATCATCGCAGTTATTTATTTGCACCGTCACAATCTTGCTAGAATTAACTTCCACTGACCACCTACACATTTATCCGACCAATGGATTTAGATCGCGCCGTAATATTTTATCGTCTGACATGCCACACGTGAGTCCTTAAGTCATTATGTCATGTGGAAAGTGTAGAACAGATGACTTTGCCACAGTTGCTAAGTCACTTACATAAAGTAAGAAAGGTGAGAATCGTGGATTGTACCTCGCAGAATTCCACTTATTACAGATTCCCACATTGATAGAGACCCATTTTTCCTCAAATGAGTTGTCTTCCATCACTTTAAAAGTCAATTATCCAGCCTGTAATCTCGTAACGAATCCCCAAGCGTCCCTGCTTTAGTTTAAGACCCAAGTGAGAGACCTTTTCGAAAGCTTTACGTTCGCTGGAGCCCAATCTTTTTCTCAAAGAGCGTATTTGTCAAATATGAGGGGCCTTTTCTAAAACCATGTCCGTCTCAACGAAGGACTCTGGTTCTATGGTTCAATCTACTGGGGGTGCTGTGTGCATAATATATTGTATAATGATTTTCCGGATATTTGATCTGGATTGGGCTGATATTTCATCGTTATCAACAACCGTATGAAAAAATCAAAGACTAAAACTGGATGGTCACTTTTACCTGTGGGTGGCATATAACAGAGGTTCGTGATGTCAATCTCTTAATAAGTCAATATGAGTCTAGTATGGATGATTTCAAGTCTGAGTCGTGTCTAGTTGCTTCGTTCACATGTTTCACTAGGACACATGTTATAACCACATCAAGTAGTTCCTGTTGGAAGGAATTTTTCAATAAATCACTTCTCAGATTTTTCAAGTCTACCGCAGGTAGGCGATTTTGTCGTCTAGGGAGCAAATGTCGTTTTCTAAAAATAACATTCCCCGGGTCTAGTTGCACACGCTTTCGACCAAGGTAGGTGATTAGTCCACACTTATGTTGCGATGTTGCAAAAGTGTAGTGAAGTGACATGTGGAGACCTCAATTTTAAGATCTGTAGCCCGAGCTCTTTTGAGATTAGATGATGAATGGAATCTTATCAATAGTGCTTGCCACGTTTACGCATAATTCAGAACGTCCTTCTAACGTACATGTGATATTTCCTCAAAGCATACAGAGTGCAACCACTGTACAACATAACGGTATAATCCATACACTGATGAATATGAGTGCGAGATATATGAGCTCATTTTTTCTAAAGCCACTTGTTATCCAATTTTGTAATGACGGATTGTCTTCCGGTTGACGTGTCCTTATTCATGAAAATTGAATTCAAAATGAATGCTGCAGAGAAGATCGTGAAAGATCAGTTGTCAAGAATTGTTGGGAGATAGCACTAAATAACTGGCATGCCTAATTAATTATCAACAGTGTTTTCGTACACAAACCCTTCCACTTTCTGTAGTTTCATCTGTTGTATCTGAACGAAGGAGATGAATGGCAACTGTTAGGAACTATTTATAGGCTGTTAGTATACATATATTCATATTGTATAGCCATTAAGTAACTAGATTACTTATATATATTTTTCTCTTATTATAAACTTCCATTTGACTAATAGACTAATATTATGTGATTTAATATTCTCAAGTTAAACTCAGTTTATCAGTTAGTCTCTCACACCCACAACCGCTTTTGGTTTGACCCTGTATAATTGCTGTTTTCTGTTTTGTTATATGGTGCGGTCTGGTTTGCTTGTATATAAACTGAATATATCTGGAATACATGATTCATACGATGGGGGCTAAGATTGTTTTTCAAACGGACAGGGTTGGGTAAGAAGGACCAATAAGGACTCAGAGTTGACTCTGGGCTGCTAGTACTGTTTAGCGCATCGTAATTTTGCTACAGCGCCAAGGTTAAATATGTCGATGTTTTAAATGGAGGACTTGTCATATAATAATAAACACGAGTATAAGAACATAACACTAACCATTTTTTGACTTATTGTGTCGCCAATACATTTTCCTTTATTCTTCATCCTCTTCTTAGCCATCAACCAAAAAATTGCCTACACACAAATTCTTTTCTCTCAAATGGCTCCCGACCTACTGACTATCACTATTTTTATTATTTCTTTATTTGCACTGGGAAATCTCGTCAATAATGTTAGGACCACTATATATTAAGTCACTACAATCACAATTGCATGGCTTAGATTACTTCGACACTGAAGAGGTCTCCTCCACTGAAATTTCGTTATTCTTCCTAGCCTAACTTCTAGTTGCCCATTCATAACTCGTTAGTTTGATAATGACAATTCAACGTTTACACCAAGAATAGATGTGTAGATCATTAACGTAGATGATCTATGTCGAATGATTGGAGGCCTACTCGAGTTAGACGGGAATGGTGTGACAAACTATTTAAGGACGAAGTTACACCTCGTGGTCAGCACCTTACGCGGATTACCCCACTAAAGCATCAAGGTATTATAGATGCTTTGAAGACTATACAACACAGAGGACATTATTACAGAAATATATTAGTTGAAGTAGATACAAGCGAACGTAAAACCACTACCGCATAGGCCAGTCCATGGCGTACGATCAACTGGTGCACAATGGTTGTCCTTGAACTTGACGAAGATCGATGATTTGTTCGATATTCAATGACCCAACTGCTGGATGATTTGGCTAAGACTTAGTGACACTTCGCTGGCCCTACGGATCTACGATACGAGCAACAACTCAAGTCTATTTAATTACAAAAGACACAGCTTACAAACTCAACACATACAGGCAGTTTGCAATATTACTGTCCTATGAATTGCAGCTAATACTAACCATTGTAACTCCGACCATATTATGTTGAATGAATGTTCAAATTGATGATACTAGTTTATCAGATATGCGTTGTTCTCAAGATTCGTGTATTTGCAATGAAATTATTCATAGATCTGCGAAAGATATATCGAGTGTACTAAATCGTGATCAGAACTCTGATGTTATTTTATCAGATGTTTGTGCTAATGATGCAAGGATTGGCAAAGCATAAACAGCACTCCTAAAGTTGAAGAACATATGGAACTCAGAACACCTGCCAACTACTATCAAATTCTGAAGCTTCAATACGAACTTCAAGACAGCAACAACCTACTGTGAGAGAACAAACCAAATTAGGAAAAAAATGTTAGAAGTTCATAGGACACACAATGAGGAAATCACCAAACTGCATCACAAAGCAAGGCGTTAGTTGGAAGCCTGAAGGAAAACGAGAGAGGAAGGTCAAACAACACACTGCATCATGAATTGGAAGGGAACATGAAAGTGATGAGTAGCAATTCAAAACCAACTTGAAAGGTTTGTCTAGCACAGAGTCGGATGTAGAATGTTGGTGGGCGGTATATGCACCCCCATGTTTGGTAACAGGCGTAAGTAAGCAAGTTAGGGAATCAAAAGTATATTCGCTGTTTGACAGCGTTGTTGTTAAATGCTTTTATGGTCGAATATATCAAAATCAATCAAATGAGAAGTCAGTAATTATGGATTTTAAATGGGAGATTGGAATATGACCAATGTGTTTAGAAGTTTAAGATCTAATGTGACAAGTTGCTGTATGAGATGCGCAGCATAGCATACTTCGACGTGGGCCGGTGCATCCGCCTAAATGGGCGTCTTCAGATAAGGGTGTGTCAAGCAAAACTAATGAGCTGTATATCAATGTCAAAGACTTTTGAACCGTTTATCTTGGGGGTTTGTTTACTGCTACAGGTCAATAGATCTTTCCGGGAACAAAAATGGTGCAAGCTGTTTAAGGATTGCTTTCTTTATGATTCTTAGTAACAATAAGAGAGCACGGATCAGAGTTTTCCTTCGGCAAGACTTATGTAAGCCACTCAACCTCCTGTCCTTCAAATGATGCAGCTGATACTTAATACTGTCTCTTTGACAAATCTTCAATATTGGACTTCCCGTAATTATTAGTTTCAATGGAAAATGCCTGCTGAAAGGTCAAAATAACAGATCGCCGTATCAAAGGAAACTGTCAGATCAAAGTATTTTTAATGCTTACAATTCAGTTGCGTTGCATAATCAGCCAAATTCGGCCCTCAAGGTCACCGATGGAGAATGTCCTCAAAGGTATGAAATATTGTTTTTGCGTTTATGAGTAGGAGTGGTAGCGTACGTTGATGTCAAATCATCATTTGGAAACCCGGCAATTGCTCTTAGTGCCAGTCTTGAATCTTTAGGAGCTAAAGTGTGTCATACTTTAAGTCACTTAGTTACACATGTTATTTTTCGAAATGGCTCAGAAGTGGTCAGAAGTTGGGCTACAAAGAGAAATATACCAGTAGTATCTCCAGCATGGGTAAAGGCTTCTAGAATGATGAAGGTAAGTCATTAGTTTAATAGTTACCACATTGGTGTGGTAGGTTAAAGCTCCCGAGGCGGCCTACTCTGAAAAGGAGGACGGAAGTGATCTCTCTGGATTACCCACAGAACTGGATAATGAAGATAGTAGTGATGTAAAGGTTATAAATCGAACTGGTGTGGATATTTCAGGTATTGTCCACCTTTGACTTCTCTTCGGTTTTTTTTTCGGGAAATGGTAGAATTATCCCTTTACCGAGATTTTTCATAAAAATTCACTCTTTGTTTCCTATCTTTTGGTCTATTGAGTCTTTTACTTGTTTATCCTCATAAAAGTGTGTAGTTCTCATCAAGTACGTTTTCAATTTCATAATTGCATATACGTTTCTACAAAACGAATATTAACCTGATCCACATTCCACCGTCTTACAACTACAAACATTGTGTAACAGTCGAGTTGAGTCGTAAATGTTAGTAAGATCAGTCCTACAACAAGTCTGAAGGAAAGCTAGTAACTGTAAAAGACCAGTATCTATGTAGCTAAGAGATTGATGAAAATATCGGTTAGGGATGTAGTGAAGGTTATTTAAGTGTAGATTATTTTCATGATAAGCTCGGTGGAAGCAAATTATATACACGACCTTGAGGTGCCTTTTATCTAACGAGAAATCTGGTTTTAAGGCGACTGATAAGGAATTAATGACTATAGGTGATAGACAGAACTTTTAATGTGCTTCACTCTTTTACCTCTGGCTACGGTAACTGGGTTGTAAAGATTTGTTAAGCTTAAGTAAACTTCTCGTAACTGAATATCTGAATCTTTTCAATAATGAGATTTTCTGTTACTAGTAATGCACTATGAATTTCACCTGTACCATTTTATTCCGGGGGTTATTTTTACTAGGCACGATATTGATGATGTGAATCACTCGGTCCTCCAAGAACATAAAGTCTGAAACAATCCCAAGACAATCTTTGTTACTTTAAACAAAGAAAAATCGGTACAAGGAGGCACCAGATACATATGCGCCACACAAATGGTTACAATAGTCACGCGGACCCCAACCAAGTAGTCTGCGTCTACCAACATGGCTCAGACCAGAGGTTAGTGGGTTTATGAACCGATGCCACGTTTTGGTTTAACCGCCCTTAAATTTCTTCTGACCGGTTACAACACTAGTCAGCATTACGCGCCGTGGTAATAAGTGGTTGGGCATACGTAACACGTGGCCCAACCGTCTCAGTCGATGAAGATTCACGGCCTCATCAACTGATTTACCATCATTCCCAAAAAATCGTTCACAACTTATTCTTATGTGGTTTGCACGCGTTTAGCCTACAAAATACGTACATTATTCAAAATCATAATAATTATATTCTTAGTTCATTCAGCAAAACATTTAGATGAGGAACTTATCTATCAAAAGTAACCAGTAGTTATTATTTAAATATCTTTGCTAGACAGGGAATACAACAATAGATTGTCAGTTTTTAAACCGATTCGTGTGAGTGAGAAATTTATTAGACCGAAAACACCTCCTGGGATGAGGGACTTTCTACTTCGTATTCAGAAAGGTCAAATATTAAATGGAGAAGACACTATTTGTGATGAAACTGTACTGATGAACTCAAAGGAAAACATTGAAAATGACGAACCGAGACCAAATGTTGGAGAAGGCTTTCAAAATTCCAACGTAAAACCAAAAGGTATTTGTTAACGTTCTGTTTTATTGTCATGTGTGTTCCCTACGTTGGTACTATAACAAGTATTGCAGTAAATGAGTTTGGAAAAATTCAGATCCACGCTTTATAGGACGAGTTTATTTAGCAGATATGCAAGCAGATATGCGCTGAGAATTCTATATTGTACCAAAATTATAATATTGAATAAAGCTAATAATAATAATAATAATAATAATAATAATAATAATAATAATAATAATATTAGAGGTGTGACAACTTGGACCGATGCATATATGTGCTTGGTCCCACGTGTTAGCTGACTGACTGCCATAATATTTAATACTTTCTTCATTTGAAGTTTAATTATTCTGTTGTTGTTTCCGGTTGAGTTTTCGGGAAATGAACTTATAACACTCTATTAATAAAGTTGGGGTTAGTCGTTTCTATCAAGTACAGTTATCTCTAATACTCCCTAAGCCAGATGTGCGAAGATTCATTTAACCTTTCTAATTAATATATGCGGGAATTATATATATATATTTCTTTGGTGATTTTGATTATTACCCTGAAGAATTCCAGACAAGTTAGCTAGAAGAAACGTTGGAGTTATTTGAATTTCAGTCGCTGAGATTATTTCAGATATAATTTTCACATATAATGACTTCTTTTTACTCGGCGCTCAATTTCTTTTAGTTAATATTTTTACAAATGTATGATGATTCTTCTAACCACTATCAGATACAAGCTACTAGTTAATAACCTTCTAGCGAGATGAATTTCCGGCTATTGGCTTTAGTCAATATGATCATGATATTCAAATATAGACAAATGCGTTTTAATTTTAAAAAATAATATCAAACTCGATGTTCAGATTTCTACTAATACTCAAGGATTTCATGTTAACACTTCATATGTGTAAATGATCCAATTAAAGCAACGAAAATACATAGGAATCACCTCAATAAATCTTTTCAAATCAGCAACTTAGTCATGGGTCTTGTGATAGACTTCGATCTTAGTTTAATATGGAGTTCAGCGATACTACTCACATGCTCTAATATAAAGAGTTAGAATGGGTTTTGTACATCCAAGTATTTTCTCTTATTACTGAGCCATCGGTTTAACTAAAGTAGACCAATATATTATCAATCATCTTTAGTTCTTGCTTTAGGCTTGATTTATTGCAAACATTACAACTGGGGAACCTAGACGTTCAGAAGGTTCTATACAAAAGTAAATTTAGTTATAAAGCTACATATTGTGTATGAATACACCAATTAGTAAAACTATCCGAAACTACATGAACAAGTTTCATTATTGAATGCACTTTTATTTAAAGACGAAGAGGTTGTGAAGTGAAGAAAGTCCATTAATCATGTAAAAAAATACGTAAACTTCTATTTTCACCACCTTTTCACAGACCATTTGCAGTGCGGTTAAAGAGACTACAATTTATGGATGAACCAGTGATATTCAAGATAGCGAGTCTTGAATTTTGGCACGAAAGTTATTCATCCATATGGCTAAATAGCATTTCGGTATTATAACTGATGCCAGTTCGTGATGAAAACCCTAACTTGAGTTCGTAACCCTAACTCTCAATCCCGATTCTGAATTCTCACACTAATTTATAGCCCTCTTTAAACCTTAGTAGGTTGGTGGATTTTCTCAAAGTTACTTTGGCGTCGTTCACAAATTATTGTCTCACCGATCAGTCTTGATATTTTTAACGTGTATTTATTGAACACTTAGTTTAAGGAACTTTTCATATTCTCCTAATTATAAACTTCCACTTGACTCAGTAACTTCTGTTATATCTTCCTCTATTCTCAAATTGTAAGTTAATTATAAACCTGTTTCTCCAGACCTGAAACGTAAATGTCCTAGTTATTTACGTGGTAGGATGTGTTCTGGTCCCCTAATTTGTGTATATAATCAACTTCGCTTTTTATGCTAATACATAGGTCGTACATCGCGTATTCTTTTCCCATTCTCTGGTTGAGACTTAGGGACAGGAGTTCTGCGTAGGCCAACAAGAGTTAGCATATCAAGTCATCGAATCTTTGATGGGTGGACATCAGTATTATTAATTTGAGTGTAACAGAACAAGGTCATATCATATAGTGAATATTTATTTGAACGCATAAACATTGGTACAAGAGGGCACCAAATACATAGGCGTCACACAATAACAATGAGGTCAGTAGCAGTTATCATTGATTTGTGTGAAGGCTGTGATACCACCCAGGTGCCCAAACTGAGACAGGTGGTTTTCTTAGGAGGCCACATCTGGATCCTTCGACCTAAAAGTCTAATTCACAAGGCAATGGAGAAACGCCAGGAGAGGCAGTCTCATGGTAGCCGGTGACCGACAATTGGTTCATACGCCATTTGTTACTTCAGGATTCTGGAGCCCATGTGTACCATTAGTTTGGAATCAGAGTTTTCCAACTCCTCTAGATGGATTCTCTATATCCAAAATCCCGGTCAAAGCGCTGAACACTCGCTTTTTGTCCATTGCGAGAAGGCAGTGGTTGTATCCATGTGGCCATGTGAGAGCATTTGCAGAGGTAAGGCTGACTCTCCCGACCCTCGACCGTACCAGGACATTTGGGAGCCTCACATTGTGATACCGTTTACTTTATATTTTATCAGTTTCTTATTTCTGTTTTTTTTTTAAACTTTTGCTTCTTCATTAGCTTTAACTGACTCTCCAATTACTTCTACTCAAAATATAACAGATCAATCAAAAGTTTTAGAATTCCGTAATTCTTTATCACCTATTGTTAATCAACCTCAAAGTTCAGTTATCATTGACGATAGTATAATAAGTAATTCTTTAATAGAAAATTATCCTGTTACAACTAATTCCCAACAAAAATTATCATGTAAATTTCGTCTTATCAATCCGAATGTTGATTCACCATCGGAACAATTAATTGTCCCAAAAATTAAAAAAACATCACATTTATTCAATGAAATTAATAATCAATCAAAAAAATTGATAAGGAAATCATCTATTAATAGTAAAAGAATTTCAATTGGTACTCCGCTTACACCAGATGTTCTACTGGATTTTGTCAGTTCCACACATTCATCAAAATCGGCTAATACAAAAAAGCATAACACTGAATCTGTAGACAATAAATTGGAAAATGTTCAACAACAAATAAAAAAGTCAAACTTATTAACATATAGAAAATCTACAAAATTATTCTCGAATTTAAAAAATTCACCATCAGTTACACCTAAATTACGTAGTAAGTCAATTCTCAAAGAGGCTAATCATAACAGTAATACCACCACCACTACTACTACTACTAATGGTGATGATGATGATCATAATAATACTAAGGTTAAATTAAAGACTACGCTATCTACAGGTAAAAGAACACCAATTCACAAACAATCAAGACAGTCTACTCACAATAGTCAGTCAAAAAGTAAAAGTATTACAGAGAAGAAAACGAATAATAATGAAGAAACTAAAAATCTCTTAGCATCATCTAGTCGTAAACAGAATGTCAATTCTTCAAAAGATATTTCAATTCAACAGCGAAAAAGATCAATGAGTGCATTATGTACGCAAACATTACGACCTGTAATTGTTTGTCTACCATCCAATGTAGATTTAGACGCAACAAAGATTGTTCCTTGTTTAGAGGAATCAGAATCACTTTACAAGCAACAAGACAAATCAAATCAAACTTTAATGGTATCTAATTCTGTCCATAAAAAATCATGTGGTGTAACCAACGAACTGTTGCCAGACAATCATTATAAAGAAAAGTCAAATAATAACGAAATTACGCCACTATCAACAACACCGAAACGTCTATCTGTGAGTCAAATAAAAGTGAGTTGTCATTGTGTACCTGATATAAATCCCTATACCAATGACTGGAATAGTAGCGTAATGATTTAAGTGTTTGACTTTCAACTACGAGGTCTCAGGTTTGAGTTTTATCCCACATCGGTTCTAATAGCCCTCATTCATAATGTGTGGCTCAAAGCCAAGTACACGAATCTGTACTTGGTAAATAAGCTGTATCATCATGTCACTAGTTGTAAAACGTTTCATAGTTATAGTTCCATAGAACCTCCACACTTTTTTAATATATCGGCAATGTGTTAAAATGACATGGGCTTTCATTGATTTTATTGAAATATACTATCAGTATCATGGATTAAAAATTTAGTTCTTCAGTAATGTGGTTTGCGGGGACTGGTTTAATTTAAAAACTATTTTTGTCATGAATATACATCAGTTGTAAAACTATTTGAAGTTTTTGTAAGCTCTGAGTAGCTATTTTTTTCTAGATTGGGGCTTTGAAGCATTTATGACATGTATCACTAATGATATCCACCGATTATCACAGTATGTTGTGATTTCGTTGAGGTCAGAAATGTAGACCATTGAGGGTTGAGTCAGTGCTTTAAACGTAACGTGTTCACTGAGACTGTAAAGCCTCAGGAGTTCAATCTCGTATGGAGTCATGGATACAGAATTCCAACGAGTCTCAAATTGAAACGAATCAACTGTCTAATACTCCCTGATTTTCAATTGCGTTTCAGACAATGTCAGTCCTTGACGGAAAGTATCTGTCAGACTTCATTAATTGGTAGCATTGATATCTTTTTGACAGATATAATGAAATACAGTTATCTCAGGATCAGTGTACTCATTTACTGAATATGGATATCTGATGTCGACTGTGACAGTTAAACATTCTGAATTATCGCACATTTCTGACTTCTTTTACATACTGACTTGTGCAAATACCTGCATTTGGTCATATATGCTATGAGGTAAATCTTTAATTACCATAATGTTCCACAGACACATCTTCAGTGACCTAGGATATAGCACCTAATGTTCCAAACTTTTTTTTGCGTTAAGTCACCTCTAAAAATAAAGTATCTTAGACCAGAGTTACAAACAGATATGTTTATAATTTCACGTTCTTTCCCACTAATATTGAGCAAGTGTGCAGACTTTAATGCTGAATCATCTCTAAGAGAATAATGTGAAGATTGTTAAGTCAAAAGTTATTGTACGTGATCTATCTGATAAATGTTCAAACTGGGCTGCTGCTTTTGGTGAAACTGACAAAAAACCTTGAGAAAACTCATAAATTGTTGAGGACTATTTATGAAAATAGTGGATTGAAGAAAATTCTGCGGAACGATGCCACAGCTATAGAGCGTGACTTCTAAGAATGTTTTAAATAATGGAAAGAGATGGGACAAGTGTAATGCCACTAATGAGCGGTATTTTGAAGGAAGATAATATTGATGTGCTCTAAATTATGCTAAGTAAATTGTCCATAACCTCAGTTGGCGTGTCTATTGGACGAACTACTTGGAGTTCAGTAGAGTAATGAAGTACAAAAATATACTGTCTAATTTTATGGCTTACACCACATACTGATCTTAGAGAACTGTTCAAAATCAGGATGCACTATACAGCTGTTTCGTCCTAATGTAATGCCTCGACAGCGCCATCCACGACCTTGACAAAGGTTGAATCCGGGACCTTCGGGTTTCTTACCTAGCGCTTAACTTTTGGACGATTTGGCCTCCATTTAGTTGTGTACATGCCTAATTTTAATCTGTAGAGGCTAGTATCCTCTATATCTGACTCCAAAAAATAGTATCCCGTTAACTGAGTATTTAATGCAGGCTAAATCTCTCAGTAGAACTATGGATTTACTCGAGATTATTCAAAAGCCCGAACATCAGTTATAGAGATAGTTTATTGTTAAAGATTGGTAAAATCCGCAAGCGTAGAGGAAGCAAGCACACAAGGAAACCAAGAGTGTGTGTGAGTGTGAGTGTTAAAAATCCATATCTATTTTTGAGTGTTAATCAAGTATGAATAAATTATTGATTGTCTGTGTATTACAACCAGTGGGAGAATAGACTAAGAATTGACATGTGCTCAATCAGACTCACACAGAAAATTACATGGTGGATCAAGTGTCTAAATTACAGTGAGCAGACAAATAATACAATAGTTGAATGGACATACTACAAATCCACCCAAAATTTTGCGCGACCGTCTTTCACTGCCTTGAATGTGTAGTGCTCTGTGAGGCTGGAAGGTTTTAAGTTTGGTCCCCGGTGGGGTTGTAGATGCTCACTATTGAAAACCCATGTATTAGGACAAAACGGTTGTTCGGAGCTTCTCGTTCTCTGGTGGTTGTTTAAATAAGATCAATTCGTGATGTAAACTACGAAAATTTAAGTCTCCACAGACCCATACAATAGTAATCCGGTTCTAGTTTATTTTCACTTAAACACAACTAGGTTAGCAAATTTTTAGGTGAGACACGGTGTTCCATGCCTGGAAAGGCAAATTAAACAAAAACGGGCTTAAATTTATCAAAATTATAAGAGCCTCCTTACTTTTTATTTTTATTATTCAGTTTAACTACCGTTGAATCAATTTTTCGCCATCTGTCTGCGTCAGTGTATGAGCTTATTCTGTCGACCCTAGGATGTACACAACATTGTCAGTCATTTTTATTTACAAATGACTTATTAACACCTAAGATAAAGGTAACAAATAGGAAGTCTGTCAGACCTGATGCAAGCAAATCCGATGGACATATCGATGGGTCATTCTACTCATCGGATGCCTTCATTCTATTCAAATCTTGGGCTTATTTATCTTTCAGTGTAATAGGGAATATCACCATTGTCCTTTAATGCTGAACATTTTGTGTCAACTGACATTTCAATCAAATATTATTCATCATTATGATTTCACTTAACTAAATTATCTGTCTCTTCTTTATTTAGACTATCAATAAACGTAGTAGCTTAGAAGAATTTCGGTCTACACCGCAAATAAAACGCAAAGGTAATGTAATTTAATTAATTATTCTCTATTGACCGAAATGACGTTGTACCTACATAACCAAGTGCATGTTTATGGTCTCGACCCAGAAGCACGCTTCTATTTTTAGCGTTAGTTATACTACTCAGTCGCCTGAAACAAATTAGTTGAAACAGGATCCGAATGAATGATTCAATCACTAAATATAGAGTCCTTTAAAACCAACAATTTACTGTCCCATGTTTGCTTTTTTGTTGATGAGTTAATGGATTAGTGGCAAAACACTTGATTTTCGGACATTACATTGTTGAATTCACTTGGTATTGTTTAACTTGAATCTTCCCATTGATGTTTTTGGACTGAAATTGATCAGTCTCTTATTGGCATATGTGCATACTGTGCGTATGCCTCGATATTGCCTTAATTTACAAGCATTATAATGGGAAGATTCAAGTTAAACAATACCAAGTAAATTAAACTTCACCCCATTGCACAAGCAAGTGGCTATCAGGACTCAGTAGCTAAGTAGATAACGCGATGGCGTTTGAAGCGAACGGTACTGAGTTCGAGTCCCAGAGTGAACATCAACTTTGAGATGCAGGTACATCCAGCTGACGAGTCCCAAACAGGACGAAACGCGCGTCCTTGATTCCACTGCTAACCACTATCCATCTTTGCTCATTACATTGTTGGTTTGAACCGCGTCCCGTCTATTTTGATGTGAAAGACGGAGTAATATGATTACTTCCACTTTGCTAAAGCGATCGCGGAACTACTCAATTTTTGTTAAAAAATTGAAATAAATAATAGATGTAGTATTTAGTTTAGTGTAAAAGCTTGAGATATATGCAACCAAAAACACTAGAATTCGGTATTATCTCGGAGTTGGACACTGGTAACCATGTGATTGTTAGTATAGGGGTTTGTAAACACTATTGCGTTTGTTGCTTTACATCACTAAAATAGGGTAAACAACCCTTGATAACCAGGCAACAATAGAAAGCTATATCGTCCTAGTTTGGGTTTCCTCAGAAGTTCCCACATACATCAGAGACTGGAACCAGAACTTTAAGTTATCTTACGCTTATCTTTAGACCAATTAGTCGCAACCCTGTTGTCCATATTTCCAAAAAGAATTAGTCCGCACTATTACTAGGAAGTTACATAATGTCCTTAGTAGGTAACTCCATGACTACTGAAGTTAAATCATGAGCTCCCCACATGGCACAAAGGTCATGACCCCGATTTCTGGTGGGGCCATAGATGAAAATTGCTGTGAAGTTCCAGACTAGGATAAAGTAAGTGCTGAATATTACTAAACTACATGGATTTGTAGAAATACATTACTAGAGAATCAAAACTATGTGAATACAATGCATATGTCAAGTAACTTTCCTGGTGATCACCACCAGTTTTTTCATCAGATAATAAAAATAATTTCTTTATAATTATTTAGACTTCAATACAGAACTCTAGCATATTTATGATTTTTAAGCCGATAATCGTTTTCATCTTAAATTTGCATAATTTATACCAATTGCATTTTAAATGAGACAATATTTTATAATACTCTCCAGATATGTCGATAAGATCTCCAATAGCGTCTGAAATAGGTGCAACAAGAATCAGCATAGTATTTAGTGGAACTCAATCAGAGTGAGTTTTTTTCTTCAATGTTATTTAAATTAGTATTATATGCTTTTAGCTCAAATGTAAACTTGTCTGGATCATGCAGTTACGCAAAATACTTGCTTTCTATTTATTATAGTAAATATTTCTGTTGTGTTATAGTTTTGCTCATGTTTAATTATTCCCCTTTTATATTTAACTGTTTTGTACATCACCGTCAGCGCTCCTACAGAGCTACTGAAATGCATAGGGTTTTCGACTATAAATGAATGAATTCAGGTATAGGGTGTTGCTGGTCTTGTAAAATTACTTTACATTTGAGTGATATAATTTGCATGACAAAGCCGGAGAGTCTACATCAAGTATACATCAAGTTCTTTAACCTTCATCCTTCTTTTGAATAAAATATCGTTTTTGAACTTAAAATTATTAATTTGAATGGTTGAAGCTAGACCACCATGGAAAACCTGGAAGCACTAGACGGCCGTTTCGTCCCATCGTGGGACTCCTCAGCAGTGCGCATCCACAATCTCGCCCTCCGCGAGATTCGAACCCAGGACCTATCAGTCTCTCTCTCGAGCGCTTAACCACTAGACCACTAAGTCGGTTGGTATCCAATTGTATTAAAATCTAACTTCAACTAATCCACGAAATTGACTGACACATCCACCATTGTCATCAGTGAGTTACTATTTCGCAACAGACCTGGTTGAACTCCCCTGATCACTGCTTCTCACTAGAACTCCAGGATATACCTCTTAAAGCCAGTCACTCATGATCTCAACCGTTGAAATTACTGTAATATCCACAAAAACCCCTTCTGATATTAAAATTATTAGTTTAATAAATGGATATAATCTGTGAACTTCTACCTCCTTTTTAGATCAGATCTGTTGAAATAATCTGTGATATTTACTTCAGTTTAGCTAGATTAAAGGGAAGGATTTGTTGTTGTTCGAGGATAAATCTAATATATTAGTCAGTGATAACTAGTATCTATGGAAATTATCATCTTTTATGTTATTTCAATGAAACTCAGTCAGTCAGTCAGCTACAACGTAGGACCAGGCACATATACGCATCAATCCAAGTTCCTATACCTCATTAGCACAACAAAATGAACACCAAATTCATAGAAGCAGTTACTTCGATGGTGGTAAAAAACACACTTCATATAAGGATATGATACAAGGAGAAGATTAGCTATCGAATTGTAAAATTTCACGTTACCGTTACAAAATAAGTTAAGGCGGTACACACAAGATGCATATATGCCAGTAAGAGACTGATCAATTGCAGTCCTAAACATCAATGGAACGATTCAAATAAACAATACAAAGTGAATTTAAACTTCACCCAGTCGCACAAGCAAGTGACTATCAGGACTCAGTAGCTAAGTGGATAATGTGATGGCGTTCGAAGCGAATGGTACTGGGTTCAAGTCCCAGAGTAAAACCCCTGAGATGCAGGTACATCCATCTGACGAGTCCCAAACAGGACGAAACGCTCATCTTGGATTCCACTGCTGGTCGTTATCCATCTTTGCTTATAATGCTTATGAATTAAGGCAATATCGAGGCAATACACACATATGCCAATTGAAGTCTTAAACATCAATAGGATGATTCAAGTAAAAACTATAGCAGGTGAATTTAAAATAACTTGTCGTTTTACTAAATTTTTTAAAGATGTTTTTCACGGTTACCTACTTATACACTTTGATAGGAAACTGTTAAATTAGTAATCAACATTTAAGACTGTTGATTGATAAAATGGGAAAAATGTTCTACTTTAGATTTTTTTTGAATCCTGCTACATTCTATAAATAATCTTATTATATAAAAAAAATCCCTCAGTTTTCTTTCTGATATGTCTTCCAATTGATTTACCAGCCACCTCTAATAACCTCAGACTAACTTTACATGGCATCTTAAATACAAGAACAAAGGCGCAAAGTTCTAAAGGGTCGCTTTACTCCAAATTCAGTTTGTGTACAGAAAGACGAGGATATTTATAATATTACAGACGATCCTGGGCTTCTGAAAGTTTCTAAAACCGTACTAAACATAGCAGCGGCTAGGTAAATGTCCAATGAGAAACATGATACGCATCTCTTCACTCTCTAGATGTTTTTGAGAAGCTTCTATTCCTCGCTGATTGGTTAACATGTTCCTATTGTCTTTTACGAGGAATACTTTAGAACTTCCTAACACGTCCCATTATAATTTTACGTTGATTTAAAGTCCATATAAAAAGATCTATATTTCTGTTAAATAATGACTTCTGTGTAGTCATAAGGTTCACATTGGCTTCTGAGATTCCCGATGGCTCGGTGAAAAATAAGGTAATGGTGTAGAAGATGGCGAAAATTATATTTTTTTTTACCGTCCGTGTGTTATCAGTGTTAATGTTTTCTTATTTTTGAATCAGTTAACTTGGTCATAATACATTCATTCACTGAGATAATATGTATGTATATAGATTAAGATTTTGATTCTCAACAAGGAATGTATGAATAATTGATGTAGTGTCAATAACTTATGTATCATCGTTTCTAACGTCCCTGAATATCCTTATACGGTCGAGGGTGGGGAGATTCAACTCTCTCTGTCTCTCTCCAAACGCTCTCACATAGCCACGCATATACAGTCACTGCCACGGAAGTCCTACTCACTGTCTTCTCGTGATGAGAATGTTGTTTACGAAATTAAGTGGACGAAAAGCGAATGTCCACAGCTTCTACCGGTTGGTGGATATACAGGATCCACCTAAGGGAGCCGAAAAACTCTGATTCCTAACCAATGGTGTACATAGGTTCCAGGATCCTGATGAAACAAATGAAGTATGGACCTATTGTTAGTCACCAACTATCATGCTACTGCATCTCCTAACGTCATTCTACTGCTTAGTGAATTAGACCTCTCGGTCAAAGGCTCTCGGTATGGTCTCATAAGAAAACCACCTGTTTCGGTTTTGGCAACCGGGCAGTATCACAGCCCTCACACAAATCAATAATAACTGCTACTGGCCTCAACGTGATTGTGTGGTGCATATGTATTTGGTGCCTCCTTGTACCAATGTTTGTATTGAAATAAATAAAATCTCCAATATCATTAGTAGATGTGTTTTTTCTTCTCACTAGGCCATTAGAAAATACTCAGTTTGTTTTTGATATTAGAATAAATCTCCTACGATTTTTGAAGTTCTGTTGTTTTATTTTGTTTTAAAATTTTATATAGAGAAGAACAAGTTTTGATTGCATTACTGAAATCAAGCAATTTAATTGGTTATGATATAATTAAACCTTCGTTTTCACATTCTCATTTAACAAGAACAAAATGTAAACTTGGTACAGCTAATCGTTCTTCTGTTTTATCAGAATTTACACATTTAGTCACAGAATCCCCTTGTCGAAGAACATTGAAATTATTTCATGCTTTAATTCGTGGTGCACATATTGTTACTACTGATTGGATACGTCAATCAGTAACTTTGAATATGTGGTTATCTGAATCAGAATTTAAAGTAAGTTCCTTTTTTTTCTTAGAACTAAATTACTTTAATTTGAGCCCCCAAATGACCTGGTACGGCCGAGAGTGGAGTGGGCTCACCCTCCCTCTCTAAATGCTCTCTCATGGCCACGCGTATACAGCCACTGCCACGGAAGTCCTACTCGTGGTGGGGGTGTTGTTTACGAAGTTGAGAGGACGAAAAGCGAATGTCCGGCGCTTTAACCGGATTAGTGGACACGGAGAGTCCACCTTGGAGAGTTGGGAAACCCTGATTCCAAACCAATGGTGCACGTGGACTCCAGTATCTTTAAAGAACAAATGGCGTATGAAACAATCAAACCAGAATAGTCAGAGCTAGATTGCAATCTGCAAATCTGATTGCTGACATATGAATGCCTTAAGCAGTAAAATAACACTTCTTTGGAGAAAAAGTAGATTACATCTGTTAAAAAGTCATTGACTGGATTCAGGCGTTTTCTATGCGGCCTGCTTGAGCATCTGGGCTACCTGTTCCTGCCATATAGATATTTCAACAAGTTATGTATTTTTGTTTGTTTTAATATATCATTATGTTTATTAATTGCATGACCTATTCTGCTGCGTTTCTGAAAAGTGTACAACCTTTCGTTGTCACAGTTACAAAAAACTCAATAAGAGCCAACGTGGTTGCTGGCAATATACAGCGAAAAGAATGCACATTATTCATATTTTCATTTACTGAACTGCTAACATCGAACTGGCGATCACTCAATATTTATCGCCAGGACCGACCAAGAAGAAAGAAACGGAAACTTGTTGAAATACTTTACGCTGAGAATTCTATATTGTACCGAAAATATAATATTGAATAAAGCTGATAATAATAATAATAATAATAATCACGGTGGAGAACTCAGATTCGCTCATTTTTGTAAACGATCATCACCAAAGAATAAGCTGAAAATAGTCTAGAACCTTCCGGTGTATAAACTATAAATATACCAACATTTTTTTTAACTTTAACTCCAACCTTAACTTAGTTCTTTCGCTCCTTTGTTTTGGAATATCATGCTTTCTTGTTTAATTGATGTTCTGATTTTGCGGGCTGATCGAGTAAAGTAAGGTGTTTTAAGATTACTAAGCAATAAAGGTAACTGGGTCGGATATGAAAGGCTTAACAGCAAGCCAGAAATATTAATAATTTTTATTATGCTAATGAAACAGAATATCTTTTGATTGTTCACTGAAATAGCAGCTATATTCTACTTAACTCAAGGTAAGGCTCTTTACTAGAATAGTGATTTCAGTTTAACGATCGATGGAACCAAGAGCACTATAATAACGATAATGATAATGATAAAGCTTCACATCTACGCAAATGCCATTTGCTTTTATCCATTTAGGAGCTAGATATAAGTTTGTTATTAAGCCGTTGGAAGTCAAGTCCTGGTATCACTAAATTATTGCTCTTACTAAGACGCCATGCCCGTGGAGTTGGATGTGTAGTTTATATCATGGACTGACCTTAGTTAGACAACTGAAAAACAGGAAACATGTTTTATCTAGTAAAGAAAATCTCAGATTTGTACTCCAACAAACTCCAGAGATCGATCCAAATTCCTACCGACTTAGCGATGAGCACTTAACCTTCAAACCATTGAGTTAATATCCAATAATTTACATTCATAATTTTAATCGATTCATGATATTGCAGGACCCGAATTCATTGTCATTGACATATGTCACAAAACTGAAGTAGTTAAACTTCACTAATTATATTTTCTCATTAGAAGTTAGTCTCTAGTGGATACGTGAAGTAGAATAGAAAGTACTTCTAAGGTAATAATAGTAAACTAAATTCATAAAGTCAACTGTTTGTTGACATTCACAGATTAGTTTCATTCAACGAACAAACTGTAGATATGTATTTTCTTTCCTTTTGAATTTGTCCATTTAGCCTTCTGGATTACCTCGTTTATCACGTATGCAAACAATGAATAGATTATTTTCAAGTGTCGGTATTATTTATGTTGATATTGATACAAAACCACCACGTCAAGATCTTGTGGACCTATTGAATTTAGGCGGTGCACTTGTAAGTGTATTTACTACAATAATCAACAATCATTTACTTCGTGGAATCTTATCATATATTCGTTGTTTTTGATTTACTAATGTCGTTGTAATTACTGTAATTATTGAATTATAAAAAGTATTTATTATCATATCAATTCAATATGATCAAAGTCTATCATTTGTCTGAATATATTACTTGTGAGTAACTATTATTTCACAGCACCATTTACTTTGCCCGCATTTTTTGGTTACTTACGCCTGTTACTCCTCGTGATGGAGCATAGACCGCCCACTAGCACTCTCCATCCAACCCTGTCCTGGGCAGTCCTTTCCAGTTGTTATTCATCCTTTTCACATGTCTGCTTCTATTTCCCGACGTAATGTGTTCTTTGGCCTTCCTCTTTTCCGCTTCCCTTCAGGATTCCAAGTTAGGGCTTGCCTCGTGATGGAGTTTGATGATTTGCGTAATGTATGTCCTATCCATTTCCATCGTCTTTTCCTAATTTCCTGTTCAGCTGAAAGCTGGTTTGTTCTCTCCCACAGAATTCCGTTGCTGCTGGTATCTGGCCAATGGATGTTGAGTATCTTGCGTAGACAGCTATTTATAAATGCTTGTACCTTCTTGATTATGGTTGTAGTAGTTGTGTAAGTTTCAGCTCCATACAGCAGAACTGTCTTGACGTTCGTATTGAAGATTGTGACTTTGATATTGGCTGAAAGTTGTTTTGAGTTCCATATGTTCTTCAGCTATAGGAATGTTGTTGTTGCTTTGCCAATCCTCGGCTTTACGTCTGTATCTGATCCTCCTTGTTCATTGATGATTCTTTTCAGGTATGCGAAGGATTCTACATCTTCCAGAGTTTCGCCACTAAGTGTGATTGTGTTAGTATTCTCCGTGCTGTATTTGAGGACCTAGGTTTTCCCCTTGTGTATCTTGAGGTTTACTAATGCAGAGACTGCTGCTACACTGGCTGTGTTTATCTGCATCTGTTCGTGTGTATGGGATAGGAGGGCCAGGTCATCTGCGAAGTCCAAATCATCTAATTGGTTCTGAGCTGTCCATTGTATGCCGTGTTTTCCCTCAAATGTCGTCTTCATAATCCAGTCAACCACCAGAAGAAAGAAGAAGGGAGAGAGTAGACAGCCTTGTCTGACTCCGGTCCTTACTTGGAATGCATCTCTCAGCTGTCCTCCATGCAAGACCTTGCACTATGGTCCATCATTTTGTTGGTTAGTGTGGTTGATATTCTTCCAGTCATATTGAACCCGTCATTTTTCTGACTTTCCTTGTTTAATCTTGAATACTTTTCAATGATTTAACAAATTCCCGTGTAAATTTATCGCTCAAATTAATCATTTGTTAATGTAAAATCAAATAAATGTTGTAGAAAGCCCCCAAATGCCACTGGTACAATCGATAGTATAGATAGAGTTCACTCTCCCTCTCGAAATCCTTTCATATGATCCCGCGTATGTAGGTCATGCCAGGAAAGTCCCTCCAATCAGAACTCTAGGCTGCTCATAAGTGTTTTACGCGTCCTTAGTCCAATCTATAAATCACTGCTCTCCGATTGGCGGTCACAAGATATAACAATTCTTTCTTATGATTGGAATGCTGTTTACGAAATTGAGAGGACGAAAAGCGAATGCTCATATCTTCAACCGGGTTGGTGTGTATATAGCATTCACCTAGGAGAGTTGAAAAATCCTGATCCCATTAGTTTTCGTCAGAACGACACATATAATGTGCCAAAAGTTAAACAAATTACGTGTAATAATACTGTTATGATCTGTTGAAAATTTTGATTTGTCATGATTCATACACCATATCAACAGAAACCCTGAATGAATTGGTTTAGGTATAGTTCCTTGCTAACGTTTGCGACTTAGTCTGTTGGTAACACTTTAGTGTTTTCAATAATGCATACTAGGTTTTAGGTACAACTAACTGATTAATCTTATATAGAATGAAACCTGCGTCCTGGATTTCACCAATAGTCACTATCTGAAAGAGTAACTGTTTTGAATCTTAAAAACTTTTCCTGAGAAGAATTCAATATTAAAAAAGATTAATCTTAATGGTGATAAACCGTATATACATGTAATGTTTTTCCATAATTTGGGCATATATCTATCCTCGATTGCTTCCAAGCTATTGGTTTTCCTCGTACTCTAGGTTGTGGAAAACCTGTGAAATAATGATGTGAGAGGAGTAGGCTAGTCTTCATTTAGTTGATGATTGTATTGGTCACATCTGTAAACGATGTTTAAAAGTTGGGGCTTTAATAGTCAGGTCTTAATTGATTGGAGAATGAGTGACGTACAAACTGATTTCTTCCAATCTTCAGTGACAATTTATCATGCTTATTTTTCGGTTAATAAGTTAGTATTTAAACATGCCTTTTTTATAGCACTCAATGATCTTGTTTTTAATTTAAAATCATTCGTATACTCACGTTAACGATCCGATCTCGTGCAAATCCTTCACTTAACCACATCGTATCATTGCTTTTATGCTTCATTTTGAATATTCGATAATTATTTCTTAAAATCAATAAAATATTCCTCCGTAACTTGACTTCACCCGAATGGTAAAACACCTCCATACTTATTGGAAACCAACAGTTGTTGTATTTCGTGATATTAACGTTACCTTCAGTTCGTTGGACACTACTGTGCTCTGGAGATCGCCCGTTAAAAATGTGTCTGAAAAATGTATTAATAACTTAAAGTATTTGTACATAAATACCTCAGATAGAGTGACTCGATACACCACTAGACCACTGAGTCGGCCGGTATCCAATTGTATTAATATCTAGCTTCAACTAATACACGAAATTGATTGACACAACCACCATTGTCATCACTGAGTCGCTACCTCACAACAGACTCGGTTGAACTCTATTGGTCACTGTTTCTCACTAGAACTCCAGGATATACCTCTTGAAGCCAGTTACTAGTGAGCATATGTTGATTAATACCAGAAGGGGTTTTGTGGATGTTATAATAATTTTACCAGTTGAGATCATGAGTCAGTTGAAGCTAGACCACCATGGAAATCTTGGAAGCACTAGACGGTCGTTTCATCCTATTGTGGAACTCCTCAGCAGTGCCCATACACGATCCCTCGCGAAATTCGAACCCAGGACCTATCAGCCTCACGCGCAAGCGACCACTGAGCTGACCGGTATCCAAAGGTGTTAATGTCTTACAGAAAAAATTATTCAAAATCACCTTGTCTTTCAACCTATACACATATTATCTTTATCTTTGCTCTTAATTTTTAGCTTACCAATAGGAAAACAGAAGCTACAATTCTTATCGGTTGTAATATGTCAAATAAAATATGTATTAAACCGAAGTGGATTTTAGGTAATTGAGTTTTTATTTTTATTTCATCATGAACTAACCTCAGTTAGGAGATAACGTTTCTTATTTCTTAATTATTAAAGAATGGATTTTGTCAAGAGTAGTCATTAAGGATGAAGAGGAAAGGAATGGTAAAAATTTGGCTAAAATTTGATTTGGATTTAGATGGTGTTTAAACGCATAAACATTGGTGCAAAGAGACATCAAAATATAAATGCGCTACATAAATCATTAGAATTGGGAGGGGGTAGGATACTTCTCGGCTGCTCAAACTGAAGCAAGTAGTTTTCTAAAGGGGCCACACCCAGAGCCTTTGACCGAAAGGTCTAATTCACTAAGCAGTAGAATGACGTTAGGAGATGCAGTAGCATGATAGTTGGTGACTAACAATAGGTTCATACTTCATTTGTTTCATCAGGATCCTGGAACCTATGTACACCATTGGTTAGAAATCAAAGTTTTTCGGCTCCCTTAGGTGGATCCTGTATACCCACCAACCGGTAGAAGCTGTGAACATTCGCTTTTCGTCCACTTAATTTCGTAAACAACATTCTCATCACGAGGAGGCAGTGAGTAGGACTTCCGTGGCAGTGACTGTATATGCGTGGCTATGTGAGAGCGTTTGAAGAGAGACAGAGAGAGAGCTGAATCTACCCACCCTCGATCGTACTAGGCCATTTAGGGGCTAGTGTTAATAGAATATCTAGCAATTGTGTTATAGTGAAATAAATCCGGGACTACATTAAATAACTATTGTAATATGCATTGTATTGAAGTGGATTTAAGCCATCCAGAGTGTCTCAATGATTTATACATCAATATAGTAATGGAATATGATTAATTGATAGCTAGGAAACCAAACCAAGTCATCTTAAAAGAATTCACGTGTATGAGATATTCGGATCTATAACATAACTGAACACAAAGTAACCAAAAGAATTGTACTGATGCATTTAACAATCACATACTTAATCAAGTACCGTATTCTTGTTGGGACTTACTGATGATTCATGTACATACATACCACATACCAATTCTATTTTCGACTCATCCAATAATCACTTCCCTTGGTTCTTCCATCTTCTGATTTACGACTGCGGGGGGTTCTAGACGTTCGAATAGCGGTACTGTTACGGGTATGAGGGCTGGTGTCACTTCCCGGCTGCACACACCGTGGAAGGGTACTTCTTGAGTAATCTGAAAAGAAAATTTGGTTAGTATTGGTCTTAAAGACCTGGGAGCGTGACCGCAGAGCCCAAGGGACAACTACTTGAGGGCGGTCGCGCACGGCCTTTTCGTGGAAGGTTTTTAAAGTGTTAGCTCCGTTCTTCAAAGGGCCTTACCGCCGAAGACGGAAATCCGTGAGGTAAGGTGAGGTGTGACACTTTTAGGGTCGATCTTTTCTAACCCCACCCCTCCTTGTGGGAAGGCAGCATCGCTGCAGATGCTGGTTGTCCGAGGGAAACACCTTACTACTGTCACACCCCTCTACAGTCAGCAGTACGACTTCGCCCTCAGACCTTGAGTTGCTGCTTTTAGTCTTACCGTTCACCAACCGACCTGCCTGGCATGGTAGAACCTACAGGAACATATGTTCAAGCCAATATAGCTCGGTTGGGTCATCACGATACGCAGGCCCGACCACCGCGTCAAGGTAGCAGCTTCGGTCGGGACGTTCGAATACTGTTAGTTGTATTTTGTATTCCCCCAAAATCAAGTGGACGACGTAACTAATATGTGGGCGAGGAAGATAATAATTAGTTGTTTGATTAGTCAGACTAGTAGATAGTGTGACAAGTACTAGATGAGTTATATATTTCCCTACCCTTGTTGCTATCGTGATTGTTATCGCTTTTTGATGTGGAATTATACTTACTTTCTATTCTGGCTTATCACATGTTCTTGATCTGAGCTGTGTCGAAGTCCTGTAGAATAGACACTGGGGGAAGCTTTCTAGTGTAGATATTCGTCTAAGGCAAATTAATGTCCAGTGTTATAACAGTAACAATTCCAAAATAATATATAAAGTCATTTAAATTTAACAAATCTATATTATTATCAGAACGTGGGTTTTGTGCAATTTGTAGTAATTTAATAGTTGAATTCATGAGTCAATTAAAGCTAGACCATCATGGAAAACCTAGAAGTACTGGACGGCTAAGGAATCTCATACTAAGACGAAATAACCGTTCAGTACTTCAAGGTTTTCATTGATGGTCTAACATCGATCGATCCATGATCTCATAATTGTTTAACCCTGTCAATTTTGATGTTCTTTACACATTTAATATACTCAAACTTTCATAACATCAATGTATTTATTTATTCATCTCTCTTCATATAGATTCTATATTTCAAGCCAAATTATTATCATTGACAGATTATGAAATGTAGACTGGAGTAATATTGTTTAATTTCACTTTTCAATGTACATTCATCTAAGTCTATTCTCATATTGTAATTTTCATCTTAATTAGTTTTCATTTGTTTTGTTTTTCTTTCTTTCTTAACTGTACATAAGTTTTGATTGAGATCATGAACCGATTGATTTTAGACCACCGTTGGAAATCTGGAAGCACTGGATGGCCGTTTCGTCCTATTTTGGTACTCCAATGCTTCCAGGTTTCCAACGATAGTTTAACATCAATTGGTTCATGATCTCAATCAAAAACTTAATAATCTCCACAATTCCTATACTGATAACTAACTGTGTATAAGTTTTTTCTTCATTAAATACTTACTTTTGGTTGATTGTTTACTTTGTTTAATAAATTTCATTTGTATAGATTTATTTTGTTTTACTTTTGACATATGTTTATTTATTTATTTATTTATTTAAACACATAAACATTGGTACAAGGAGGCACCAAATAGATATGCGCCACATAAATAATTCGATTTATGCGAGGGCTGGGATACTGCCCGGGTGCCCAAACCGAAGCAGGTGGTCTCCTTAGAGGGCCACATCCTGAGCCTTCGACCTGAAGACATTCGCTCTGAATTTCGTAAACAACACCCCTGCCTCGATAAGGCAGTGAGTAGAACTTCCCTGGTAGTGGTTTTGTGTACGTAGCCACCCTCAACCTCACCAGGGCATTTGGGGGCTATGCTTATTTGAATAACCCTATTGTTGTTCAGTATGATTCAATGAAATTTTTGCTATTCACTGCCTAGGACAAACTAAGTGTGATCAGTATGAGGAAAGATGGACCAGTCTCTTATCGGCATATGTGCATACTGTGCGTACTGTCTCGATATCGCCTTAATTCATAAGCATTATAAGCAAAGATGGATAGTGGTTAGCAGTGGGATCTATGACGCGCATTTCGTCCTATTCAGAACTCGTCAGCTAGATGTACCTGCATCTCAAGTAAACAATACCAAGTAAATTTAAGTATGATCAGTGTTTAAACTTTACTTCTTATTACATTTTTCATGAATGTGTAAAAACTAGGTAGCCGATTTGTTGTCCAATGAATCAAGTTGCCTAAATCTTGCTGGATGATTCAAACAAGCCTTAAAGTAGAACTTTTTCTTGAATATATCGTGTTAATTCTTTTTGCGAAATTTGAAGTTGGATTTCATTACAAATTGATTTGATTTATCGAAATCTGATTCTTTCTAATTTGTGATTCCTCCGTTGTGAGTATGTAAAACCTCACTCTAGATTAAAGACATGGAATTCAGATCTGCCAGCGAATACAATATTTTTCGATCATTACATTCGACTGCAATGGTGTATATTCGAATTTAGTCACTTTAGCCAGCATGATCAGTGGGTTATCGTTTGACCTCCTATGTGATGCGTGCCCGATTCTGTAGACTTCTCAACGAGGAAGAAACAGTTTAATAATAGTTCTTTAGCTAGCCTCGAATGATTAACTATATTGGAGATTTTGTAAAATCATTCTTATTTTCCTACTAGATTGTTAGAAATGTTTTGAATGTGGTTATTATGTAGATAGATCAGATATTCTGTGTATAAGGCACTTTTCCTTCAACTAATAGGTTCCAGATTTGAACTCTACTTCACCTTCTCTTTGAACATCTCACCAATGGTACAAGTGGGCCTCACAAAAGCAATGTGGCTTATGGTTGAACAAATATTAACTATCCCAATGACTAGTTTCTTCATTTTTAAACTGTCAATCTGCTGCGTACTACTTCAAACATCTGTCTATTTAAGTAACACCAACACAATTAAGTCTAATTGCATAGTTTGAACATATTGAAAGAACAAAATATATTAAACTAATGGTTAGTTAGACCAAGTTGTTGGATTATTATTTGTGACGACTGAATGATCCCTATTATCATTTCTAAATGTTCACTTGACATACTGGTTGAATTTCAAAAGTTCAGATCAGAAACTGAGGATCTCATCTTTATTATTATTAAGGTTACTGGGTTTTGTTCCCGCGAAAGATCGCTTGTAATTAAACGAATGTATATATCCTACTTTGAATAAATGTTTATTTTTTTTCTAACTACGAACGGTTTTCATTTATCTCATTGTGTGTATAACCTACAAGGCTTCCAATAAGTAATTCATGAAATTACAGTGTATACTACATTTAAAATTTGCAACCTTTGTTCTTAGTCGATAATATGTAGTCTTTCTTGTATCATCTCAAAATGGTTTAGAATAGATTATTCAGAAGAAATTGTAACATCAGATGTTACTTTTGAGCATTTGTTGATTATGACCCGTGAGATTATTGAAATCTAAAAGTTCTCACTGTACATGATTCTAACTGATCCGTTAGTTGTATTCTAATCTTTGTTTCGTAATCTGAATAAACCGAACAATTCAATGTCTCAAAAATAGTTTAGGAAGTCATGTACATGTGGGCCACCACTTTTCTATATAGGGATAAGTCTCGTAATCCAGCTTCTTATTCCATCCTGTTTCTTCTCTTTAATTGAACTAATCAAGCATTGGGAGTGTATATATTATCTAAACTAGGTAATACCTCATAACAACACCCACGATTTAAATTCAATTAGTATTGTTTACTTGAATCTTCGAATTGATGTTTTGGGACTGATCAGTCCCAGAGTGAACAACTCTAACATGCCGGTTTTATCCAGTTGACTAGTCCTAAACAGGACGAAACACTTTCAACTTGACAACATTTGATTCTTCTACAACCTTATCGTCTTGTGTAATAATGTATATAAAGTTTCTTTTCTTATTTTATTATGTACGAAGTAAAATAACTAATTATCTTGTATATTTTTTTATAGTTGATTATTAGCTTTATTCTATTGTGAATGAAATTCCGTATCAAAACAAATGATCCTGGATGTATTGAAAATTTCTCCAGTAAGTTTACAATTTATGAACGAACCAATCATATTTAAGATTACAAATTTTGAATTTTGGCGCAATATTCTCATTCACTTATTTGATTAAATATGGATGGATTTATCCGCAATGTTTCCATATGAGCCTAATGTATCACCCAGTGTAATAACGGTCATGTCTACATTCATGTAATCATAGAATTTGTCATTTAATAATGTGTTTTTTTTTATTAAATAAGTAGATTATGCTGTAAATTTTGCTCTGGTTATAATTTTTATTCGCCACATCCGACTGTGTTACACTGTACGTTCATTGGATGCTGGCATGATATCCCAAGTCATAATAGCTTTAATCACATCGTTGATTGTTTCCAGATAGACCGACAGTGCATAATGTTACTGAAGAAAGGTTTGTTGTACTGTAAACTATGTTTTTATGAACAACTGACTGTTGTTTTTAGTCTCAAAGCAATATATATTTCCTTTGTTTTCTGCTAGGTAAGTTCGATTGGCCTATAGTTCGTGTTTTAGGTTTATCGGCTGAATTCTATCCGCTTAACTACTTTGAGTGACATGTCTGTGCAAATGAAACAATAATTATGACACTTGCTTAGTTTAGTATTCTTGGTTGTTGTATAAGTCAGTTTAGTCTATAGAATTATAGTATACTTAAGTATAGTGCTTGAAGCCTGTAACGAAACAGATCAGTTTAGTAAGTAGAGCTGCCTGTTTTCAATGATTATACTGATTCAAATCAGTCTGATTAAAAATAGAAAAAAAGTGCCTTTGGTACTGTTGCTGTATGACATGTCATACATTATAAGATGTATGTAAGTGTGTTTGGTGTTTATTTGGAGGCTGTACATCTAGCACTGACCATATTTCAAGATCACTGTCATTAAACAATTTCCCCAGCAATAACATCGGTAGCAGGATAGCTAAGTGTCTGAGCTTTTACTTGCCTGCAAAACAGCAGTATACAGTCCTAGAAGAAAAGTGTTTTGTTTTAAATAAATGCTGATGGTTGTGGACAAATGTTAAAAATCTTTTTGACAACTGGGGCATTATAGCTGATGTCAGTTGGTAATGAAATTATCAAATCTAATTTCTAACCCTAACGTTCAACTGTAAATCTTAATCTTAGTTCCTCAAACTAATCTATTACCCTCATTTAACTATGGTAAGTGGACATCTCAAGGTCATTCTAGTGTTGCTCAAAGGTCATCCATAAATTATAGTCCCACCAATAATATCATCTTCAATTGTGACATTATTTATCAGATATTTCTGAGCAGTTGATTAAAAAGGTGCTCAAATCAAACAAATCAAACATTCCACTGGTAACGGCTTCTCACTAGAACTCCAGGAGTTTTTCCTGAAGTGGAGTTCAACCAGGTCTGTTGTGAGATAGTAACTCACTGAAGACAATGGTGTACGGTGGCGCAACTTCGTGGATTGGTTGAAGTTAGACATTAACACCGTTGGTTGCCGGCTCAGTGGTCTAGTGGTTAAGTGCTTGCGCGCGAAGCCAGTAGGTCCTCGGTTCGAGCCCCGCGTGGATGCGCACTGCTGAGGAGTCCCATGCTAGGACGAAACGGCCGTCCAGTGCTTCCAGGTTTTCCATGGTGGTCTAGCTTCAATCGACTCATGATTTCAACTTGTGAAATTTCTAAAACTCTCCACAAAACCCATTCTGACAATAGAGTTGTAACACTACAATCTGAACTTTCAGCTATTGAATTTATAGGTTCAACACTCCTTACACTTCTGGTTTAGGTTTTCTTTTTGCATGAAGCATACATACAGTAAATGAAGTTAATTAGATACATTTGATTATGATTATCAAGTCGCACTTTATTTTCTAAGCGTCATACACTTTATAATTTCAAAAATCAAACAATTCCAAATCATAATTTCTTATGTATAATTAAATATCAAAGGAATCTCTTGGTAACAGTTTTTCGGTCAGTCAGTCACAACGTAGAACTTCGTACGTACGTACATCAGTTCGAGTTGTCATACCACATTAGCACAGAGATGCAGTTGTCGATTCAAATCCCGTAGTGGTAGAGGTAATAAGAGTATAAGCAGTAATCGGGAAGATTAGGGTTTGGAGATGTTATTTAAAGAGTATAATCCAGTGAAATAAATTTGGAAAGAGGAAAAAAGGGACATAAAGAATTCAGAAGATTAGAATTTGGGAGAACACAGAGAGTGGATGCACCTATGCCATTGCAAACGATTTTGAGCCATGTCATTCAGGGTCTCTAACCATCGGTTGCTGTCATCTCGCAGATCCCAACCAGGTATTCTACACCTATCAACATGACTCAGTCCACTTGTCAATGAATTCATAGATTTGTGTCATGTTTTGGTCTTGCGGCCCCTAGTTTTCTTCCAATCTACTCCTACACCACAAAACATCGCTCGTCGGCGCAGTCGATGGTTGGTTGAGCTTACTTAACGTATGTCCCCGCCATCTGAACTGACGAAGTTTTATTACTTCATCAATTGATTTGCCATTCTTACTAACAGTTTGTACTGTTAGATTTATGCATTAAAGGTTTTTGCTGCTGATATTCTAGTTGAATTTTTGACCATTTTCTTTTATCATATAATCTTCAATCCATACCATGTATACAATTAAAATTTTACTCTAATATTGGATTCAGTACAAAAAATGTTCATTTACATTGTTATAAACGACTTCAGCATTCTGAAAGCTTCTATAGTAGTAGATGATAGATTTATAAGTAGATTGTTATGACTTTAAGCCCAGCTAGTTATCATGTAATTTATTGACTAATCGAAATACGACTTGTTCAATCTTGATACTGTACTAAACCAATGACGTACGACCGTTATGAGCAGCCTAACATCTTTATTGGTCCTTTGTTCTCCTAACACGTCCAGTTAAGTCCAGAACGCCAATAACAGCTTCTACTATGCGAATCATTTATTTCAAACATACTTGGCTTATATATAGTTTATTTCATAACTAATAATTGGTTTAGTTTTAACTGTTTACTGGAATTCGGATTTGATCTATTATCATTCTCAATACAAATCATAACAACAACTCCTTATCTATTTGGCAAAGTTTCTGATAAAATGCAGTTGTCTATTAAGTGCCATGTAAATGATGAGAAATTGTTTGGAATGCTTTCAATAAAAAATATTACTTCTGGACTGGTTCGATTCGATGTCCAACTTCATCATAGAGAGTGAAGTAGCTGAAAGCATTGGTTTATTCGCTTATCTGGAATTCCTACTAACCCTGGAGGTTGATTGATAGTTAGTGAATTTTTCATACAGATTTACGAAGGTCGATTGATATTTGCCAACCTGATTTACATATAGTACGAAAAAGATATCTGACCGTATTTAGACACGATTACTGTTCAACTGTCCTCTATTTTTGTATTTTATTACTGTGAAATGTGGCCTTTGAGAGTAGACTAATATTTGATGATAAATATCGTCAAAGCATCGCTCGCATATAATGGAATAACTCAGTATATATTATCGTAGTTATACATAATTTACTAGATAAAGATGGGAAACTAGTTGATAAAGCGGCGAATCCTCATCAATTCAGGTTGTTTAGATGTTAGTTATTTATTATTTATTTGAAGAAACAAACATTGCTACAAGAGGGCACCAAATGCATATACACCACACAACAATTATCATTGATTTGTGTGAGGTCTACGATACTGCCCGGGTGCCCAGACCGATGCAGGTAGTTTTCTTGGGGACTACACCTAGAGCCTTCGACTTAACAATCTTATCCATAAGCCAGTGAAGCAATGTCTGCAGATGCAGTCCCATGGTAGGCGGTGACTAACAATAGGGACTCTCCCTGCCATCAGCCGTGCCAGGGCATTTGGGGTAGATATAAGTCATGAATACCTAAGCAACAAATATGCAATACCAGCTGAAATGGGAGTAAACTAGAAGAGAGTTGGAATAAACCAAACCAAGTCATTGAATCAGCCTATGAAGTCATTGGTCTAAGTTCGGTTAGTTAGTCCATACTACATACTAGATTCAGTGCAATAATTGCAACTAACGGTTGGATGCGTTGGATGACATAACTCAACTTCAAGTATCGTGGCGCAGATACATCCAACATTTATCTTCCTGATTTTATGTTTCTTTATACTTTTATTCCACGAATTTATCCCTTCTTTCTTGACTGTATTCTCTGTGTTTAATTTTTCTCGCTATCATTGGTGCTGTTATTATTATGTCAACACGTTTGCTATTTATCTTGCTAATTCTATGCCCTGGTACGACTGAGGATGCAGAGAGTCAGCTCTTGTTCTACAAATGCTCTCACATGACCACTATCAGGGAAGTCTTAATCACTGCCTTCTCGAGGCAGGGGTGTTGTTTACGAAATTGAGAGGACGAAAACAGAATGTCCGACTCCTTAACCGGGTTAATAAAAACGGAGAACCCATCTAAGGGAGTTGGAAAAACTTGATTTCAAACTAATGGTACACACGGGCTCCAGGATCTTGAGAGAACAAATGGCACATGAACCTGTTGTCAGTCACCTGCTATCATGGAACTGCACCTCCTAATGTTGCTCCACTGCCTTGTAGTTTAGAAATATCTTATCAGTTGAATGTATGTCTATCTTGTTTCAGAATTGTATTATCTAAGTATTTTTAGAAGAAAAAAGAATCTGCTTTGTTTATTTGTTCACCTATTTTAAACAAATCCCTAGTAATATCAAGTAGATTTCATTAGGAATATTCTAATCTTTCTGTCTTCATCCTTCAGATATTGTTCAAATGATTGCTGGATTAGCAAAAAATGTGATTTTACATTTGAACAAAAATCAATTATTATTTATTATTAAAGAACGATCTGTATTTGGTGGAGTTACAGCATGGTGCGATTTAGATCTTGTAAGTTATGAGATTCTTTTTTTTATTCTCAATAAGTATGAATTAAAAAACGCATAGTACAAAAATATCTCCCTTAACTCAACATAATGGTCATTATTTGAGATGGTGGAGAAGATTTGTAACTTAGGTGGATGATTTTGATGGAATTTTGTTCTCTCAGTTGGATGGTTTAGTTGTGAAGCTTTCATCGTCCTGACATCATCAGCACAAACTTCAGGTAGAAGTGAAGTGTTCGGATTTCTCTACATATGACTCACAGCTTATCCTGTACACGTCGATGTTGATTGGTTGATATAAACCTGTCACCGCTTCATTGTTTTCATTGTATCACCCATTGGTTTGAAGTTTGATCTTATATTTGTCCATAATTTTTCTGATTGGTTGATAAATTGAATCGATTTCAATGTGTTTGTTGATTGATCTGACTGCCAAGCTTTTAAAAATTCTCTGTTTTTTTTCAAATCGACACTATCTAAAATTTCCACAATTTTCCAGTCGAATGTGTGTCCGCAGACGCAGACGCCCTCTTCATCTTCGTCTGTATGAACATCAATTAGCAGTCAAACACCATAACATGTCCTCACTTATATCGATACACGTGGACAACTGCGGACACACATTCGACTGGAAAATTGTAGAAATTTTGGATGAAGGCAATTCAAAAATGTTGGGGACGTTAGATCCCCAGAACTCACTTGGAAAAGTACCTAATTTTATTTAGAAAACTTGGATTTCTTTGTTTTTGCGCCAAAAGCTCTCTTGTCACCTTCATGTCGTATTTCTCACTTGGGCAAATCTTAAATGCTATTGGTCCGTTGCGTCTTTTAGTATGCTGTTTGGTAACTCTCCCCAAGGACGGTTTTGTGCTGTATATATACGTTTTGATTTGCGTTTGTTTTTATCGCTCGTTTCTGGCTGTTTGTAGAATATACTTCCCCATTCCAAGCTTGGACTTCTTTCCCTAGTTAGCGGGGCTGGGACGCATCAGATAGCTAGCTTATTGGTTTTCGGTCACTGAGTCTTTGTTCCGTTCGCAGTCTAAGTGAACTCGTAACCGCTTCAAACCTAGCAAATTTGGCGACGTGGGTGGCGCAAACATGAATCCCGCTAAAGTGGAATTATTGCTCGAGCAGCAGATGAAACGTATTCAGATGTTAGCAGATGCAAGGCTTACGTCTAATACTCAACCAAGCAGTTCTAATCCTACTACTACCGCACCATCAGTTGATGGTATCGCTAACAGTATCTCCGAGTTTCATTACGACCCGGAATCCAATGTCACGTTTGATATGTGGTTTCGATGTTACGAAGACCTATTCAAATTTGACTTTACTGATCAAGATGATGCTTGGAAGGTCCAATCGCTGCTTCGAAAATTGGGTCCTAGTGAACTAGACAGGTATTGCAACCTAATTCTGCCTCTAAACCCACGCGACCACTCATTCTCGGACAATGTTCAGTCATTGAGCCAACAATTCGAAGACAACTCACTATTCAATGCGCGCTATCGATGTTTGAAGCTCACCATAAACAAAGATGCTGATTTTCTCACACATGTGGGTATCGTCAACCGAGGATGCGAACGCGTCCGGTTGAAGTCGCTTACTGAAGATCAATTTAAAGCACTCATTCTCATCTGCAGCCTTCAATCGCAGAAGTACAGTGACATTAGAACACGATTGGACGAAGATCCAAAACTAACTATCGCAAATGAATATCAACTTCTAATCAATCTGCAGCGTGACACTACGATGGTCCAGCGTGGTGGTTCAGATCATACTGAAGTTCATGTAGCCCAACAGCCACCCAACCTGCATAAATCTGCCCTAGCGACACCTAGTTCAGGTCAGCAGACAAAAACAAATCCTCCTGCCCCATGCTGCAATTCAGTGCATGGCACTTTGTTCGAAACTGTCAGTATAAACAACATCTGTGCAGGAAATGTAAAGCTGTAGGCCATAAAAACGTTTTTTTTCAAAAAAGAAGCCGAGCAGCTCCAGAGGTACCAGAAATCCTATTCATAAATCCAGCACGAATTTTTTTAGTCTAATAGCAAGCTGTCATAACTCTACCCCAGGTGAGAGAAAATATATTGCCATTAATATTAATGGGCGTCCCTTTAGATTGCAAATAGACACGGCATCAGACGTGACCATTCTCTCGCGGAAAATCTGGATGGAAATGGGCAGACCACGCACCGTGCCAACGACACAAAAACCTCGTACTGTATGTGGTAACCATCTACGTTTGTTGGGACAATTAGATTGTAATGTGTCTTTCCGAGATTCGACGTTCACCAGGGTATGTTGCATGACGCCAGCTGATCTAAACTTACTTGGTTTAGATTAGTTCAACCAGTTGCATTTAGCTGATGTCCCGTTAAGCACCGTATGCCATCTGGTGGGACAACCCCATGAACCTGAAGCATATACGAAGAAGCTAATAACAGAGTTTTCAACCATTTTCCAGCCTGTATTGCGTCGGTACACCGCTTGGAAAGCAACGCTTCGGTTAAAACCTGAAGCTAAGCCTGCCTTCCGTCCAAAGAGACTAGTGCCGTACGTAGCATTATCGAGAGTTGACGAAGAACTAAACCGCCTTCGACTACAGGGAGTTATTACACCTGTCTCTTATTCTGCTTGGGCAGCACCCATCGTGGTTATTAAGAAAGCAAATGGTACAATTAGAATATGCGCAGATTTCTCAGCAGGTCTTAACGCTGCCCTAGAACAACATCATTACCCGTTGCCAGTTCCCGCAGATCTGTTCACTATGCTAAATGGCGGAAAGTTTTTGCAAAACTGGATCTCGGTGATGCCTATCTACAAGTGGAAGTGGCTGAAGACTTGAGAGAGTTACTTACCATAAATACTCATTGTGGCTTGTTTCAGTACAATCGCCTACCATTTCGTGTTAAGACAGCTGCATCTACTTTTCAGCAACTAATGGGTACCATCCTATCGGGTATCCCGGGGGTCGCAACTTATCTCGATGACATCTTAATTGTTGACACATCGCTAGAATAGCTTCGAGAACGCACGACAGCTGTACTACAACGTGTCAGCGATAACGGATTCCGATTACGCCCAGAAAAATGCCAACTTTCCTTGAAGTCAGTAAAGTACTTGGGATTCATCTTTGATGTCTCAGGTCGCAGACCAGACCCTGAAAACATCCGAGCTATAAAACTGATGCCGGCTCCCACTAATATCTCTGAGCTACGATCATTCCTGGGATTAATTAACCACTATTCAGCTTTTGTTCCGTCGATGCATGACATACGCGCCCCACTAAATTATGTTCTGAATAAGAATACCAGCTAGAACTGGACAAAAGAATATGAAGCTGCATTTTGCAAGCTGAAAACCATCATTAGCTCCGAACTATTATTGATGCACTAGGACCCATCCATGCCAATCATTGTGGCTGCAGATGCTTCAGCTTTTTGACTTGGTGCTGTCATCTCACACCAGTTTGCGGACGCAACAGATAAAGGTATTATGCATACATCTCGCACATTAACTCCAGCGGAAAGAAAGTACAGTCAAACAGAGAAAGAGGCTCTCTGTTATATCTGGTCGTCGCTGATTGTTGTGTCGGAAAATGCCGATCACTTATACTCGGAACGAAGGGACCTCCGCAATTCCCACGACACGAAAGTAAGAACACAAGACTAGTATAAGTGAAAATTTATTAGTCCCAAAATACTATGACGACGATTCTAGTCGAAAATACACTCAATTTATATATTGATTCATACACCCATTTTGATTAATAATTAGGACTAGATCACATATATGAAAAATACTTAGAGTTATAACAAATGACATACTGAGCATAGTTCATGTCAACTGAATTCAAAAATATCGTATATTATAGAGAATAAAAAGATTATACGGGAAACAAACCAAATACTACACTGAATGATCACCACATTAAATCAGAGCGGAAGTGATTTTGAACAAAACTCATAATTAGTAAATCAATTGAATTTTGACTTTTCTTTCCACCATACCACTCTCGCCCTTGTGTTTGCAGTACGCCATTTCCACAATTTTCTTGTACGGTCGAAGATTTACTCTTCTCACAATTTTCGGTTCAAAATCTAGTGTTCCAGCCCATTCTGCAAACCGACTCCAGCGATGAGCTTTGATACTTTTGGGCTGTGATTTTGACATTCAGTACCGGCGCACCCAACAGTTTGGTCAGGCTGACACCTTGTCACTACTTATCAGCGAACACCATACAGCCGACTAAGATGCAGTTATTGCCTCCCTAATGACAATGTTACCTGACAACTGCTGTTCGTGCTTTGCCAGTCTCAGCAGCTGAAATACAGTCTGCCTCCGGGAACGACTCCATCATTAAGAGAGCGATGAAATACGTCACCAATGGCTGGCCCGTCAACTGGACTCGATGGTTGACATGAAGCAACTTTACCACCGTCGGGACTCATTATCTGTCGCAAATGAATGCTTGTTTGAAGATAAAGTAGTGGTACCAGAGTCCCTACGATCGAGAGTGCTAAAGCATTTCCACATTGGTCATCCTGGTATAAAACAAATGAAATCCATCGCCAGAAGCTATGCTTATTGGCCCCTCATGCACCAACACATCGTGGACTTAGTAGGCAAGTCGGAAGATACAGACTACCTGGTTGGGTTTCGCTTGTTTGTCGTAATCAGTCTTTGAACTGCATGGTGCAGAATCGATCACAACTGTGTAGAAACAAACTAAGAAACATTGAAAAGTTACATCAGCTGTGCTCTTGAGTTTCTACGTCATTTCTTTTTAATGCGTTTTTTTTACCTAATCTCAGGCAATATTATTTCCTGAACGTATATGTGAAGGAATTTCACCGGATCAAGATGAAATATTCCTGGAATTAAATATCGATCATTTATTGCATTGTATTCGTCCGAATACTCAATCTACATTTAGTCGTAATCCTTTATACAATTCAAATTACACATCGAACTCATATACAACAGTGAATAAATCTCGAATTGGATCTAATTCTGTAACAGGAATGATTAGTAATTTAGATCAATCAGTTTGTCGACTACTTGGATTGAAAATAAAATTAGTTAGACGTAAAACTCCTTGTTTAGCAATTGAATTGGATCAGGTTGGTATTTTTTTTATTTAAATATTGCATAAAATCCCGTTCGTTGTGTTGATTCACTATCAACCACTGGGATAATTAGTTAGAATTTAAGCTTGTTAATAAATGTAATATTTTTCAGAATTTTGAACAGAATCAACCAAAAAGTGATTGTTTTTCACATATTGAGTCAATTGAAGCTAGACCACCATGGAAAACCTGGAAGCACTGGACGGCCGTTTCGTCCTAGTATGGGACTACTCAGCAGTGCGCATCCACGATCCCGCAACCTGCGAGATTCGGACCCAGAACCTGTTGTTTTTATTTCACTAATTTGAAACCTTTAAACTACATACATATAGTTGGATCTGATAACGCAATACCCCATCCTTACTGGCTGATTTCCAAACTTCCTTCAAAAATTTGTAAATCTGATAAGGTGAAGGTTTATAAAGGGTAGTTTTAGTTGGTATGGAGAACTGCGTTACCACTTTTCTAATTCCATTTATCCTCAACGACGTTTGCTGTTATCTGATTAGCTATTAATTGCTATATATGTAGAGTTATTGCATTTCAAATTTGACTCGAGGTTTTTCTACACTATTGTCTCTTTCCTAGATTATGTTGTTTGAGAGATAAATGTTGAAGGATTGTTTGTAATAGTAGCTGTACTTATCGAGTTTCGAGTAAAGCTTTACTATAACCCCGAACGACCTAATCTTCGATCGTTATCTGTAAAATTTATATTTGATTCGATTTTGATATATACACCATGAACCTGAAGTAGTTTCTACGTTCACCATTCGTTCAGTGGTATGGTACAGCATTATCAGAGTTCTCATTAGTTTCTGTCCATAATTAGAAATTGCCATAACTTGGCCGAATGATTTATCAAGATATAACAAAAAACTACCTAAGCATTTTACTTTTTCCGATTGTCCGATCTTGTTGCAATATACTTTCTGAATTCTAGTTGTAGTCTCCGTTTTTGGGGGACTATGCTAACAGGTGGTTATAGAGGGAATAATGCATACTTTTGATGTGCATATTTTGTGCTACTCCTTCTTGCTTCCGGAGACAATACGTAACCATACACAACAAAGTGAACCCTACTTGTAAACTAAATTATATAACCTTATTTGAGGATCCTCAACAGTTCATACGTATAACTGTCTACGAATTCAACCCAGGAGATTCATGTCTCACCGTGAATAAGATACAACTGTTGAATTATACTCCCTCAATTCTGATATCCTTCGATTCAGTGTTTGTCTTCAACTAAAATTCTTCATATACTACAACTGGATGCTTATTTTTGTTTTCTCTAAACATTTAGTCAAGTGTTACAGGTCATCCACGTGCTGTTTGGCATTTTATTCCCGTTCAAGTTGTACCTCCACGTTTATGGGATGAATTTGTTGAGCCACCAGATCCAGATTTTAATGTAAGTGTTAAAATGAAATCATGTTTTCATCTATAGAAAATGTATCATTGTTGATTGGTAGTTAATAATAACAAAAATAAAAACTACTTTTACATTAATTAACCATAGATTACAACTATATCTCTGACCTAGATCAGAAAAGTATGTATTTCGCGACTGATATGTCTTAGACCAACAGTCAATAACTTCTAGAACTGAAGTTTTGGCTTAGCCACTATTAGCTTCTATGATGTCCTCTTATCCACACTTTCAAACGCTTTCGTATAGTCAACGAAGTTGATGTATGGTGACGTGTTCCATTCACTTGATTGTTCAACGATGATCCGTAGTGTTGCAATCTGGTTTGTATGCATTTGGTCCTTATGGAATCCATCTTGTTGACCTCGAAGTTTGGCGTCTACTGAGTTTTTCATTCGGTTCAACAACACTGTTGAAAACTTTTCCTGATTATTGTGTGATGCCTCTGGAGTTCTCACATTTGCTCAGACCTTCTTTCTTTGATATATTGATGAGATATCTTTTATTCCAGTCCGTCGGCACTTGTCCTTACTCGCGAATCTTCCTGAATACAACGTGAAGCATATTCGCAGTTACTTTTATGTTTGACTTCAATGCTTCGGCTGGTATACTGTCAGGTCCTGCTGATTTCCCACTCTCCATTTATCTGATGGCCATCCTGATCTCTCCGGTCGTTGGTGGAGTGACAGCTATAAGAATATCTGTGTGTTGTTTCAGTATCTGGTGAATTTAATGCAGCTGGTCTATTCATGATTTATTCAAAGTGTTCTACCCACCTATTCCTCTGTTTTTGAATTTCAGTGATTGGTTTGCCTTCTTTATCCTTGACAGGTCTCTCTCGTTTACCATATTTTCCTGCGAGCCTCTTCGTTGTGACATATAGTTGTTTTGTATTTTCTTCTCTTGCAGCTTTCACCGCTGTCACTGCTAACTCTTTCATGTATTTCCTGCTTGTCGGCCCTGATGCTCCTCTTCACTTGCTTGTCTGCTTCTGTGTATTCAGCTTGTGCTTTGATGTCCTCGGTTCTTGTTTGGCTATTGTTAATTGCTGTCTTCTTGTTCTAGATTTCTTGAATCTGTCCAACGTTTTCCATAGTGATCCATTCTTTGTGTTTATGCTTCTTTCAGTCCACAACATCCACACACGTTGAGGTTAGTGCTTCTTTGATCCCTTTCCATTTGTCCTTTATAATAGTTCCTTCTTCTTTGAGATCTTGTAAGGCGTGGGACCTGTGTTTGAGATCCATCTTGAACTCGTTTGTTAGTATTTCTCACATCTTCCATTGACCTTGTGAATTTTTCAGTGATGCAAATATAGTCTACCTGGTTCTCTGTAGTATAGTCTGGTGAGATCGGTATAGCTTTGTGCATGTGTTTGTGGGGGTAATATAGTACCTCTTATAACCATTTTGTTGGAGGCACGTAAATTTTCAAATCTCTTACCATTTCCGTTCCTTTCTTGTAGTCCATGTTGTCCTGTGATATTTTGATACCCCGTGCTGTCCATTCCGACTTTGGCGTCTGGGTCTCTCATAAAGATGATCAGGTTCTTCTTTGGGGCACTTTTCTACAATCGAGTTTCATCGTCTAGTGCAGTTTGGATGACCGGATCTTAGAGATGTAATTCGTTGAGTTGTTGATAGATGGTCTCCGAATCCAAACTAATATGATAATATATCTCTTACCAACATTTTGTATGAATTTTACTTCCTCATATTTTTCACAAATTTTTTAGGTGAGTATTTTCTTCCCACCAGTGAAGACATTACGCCCATTTGTTGATCGTATGAAAAAATTTGCAAAATTTATTGTAAGTAATTAACATCTTTATTATTGTTTTTTTCATGAAACAGAAATACAATAATACACCTCATTTAGTATAAGTATTCCTGGACACTTTCACTCGACTGATTCCCAAATCAAAACACGACTTGGAGTGAGAAGTGTAAACAGCATCTTAAGTTATGTAGATCTATAAACTTTACACAATAAATTTTTAGTATTTTAGCTTATCTACTGGGGTTGCTTGGTTAAAAACTTACCAGTCATCGCATTCCGACATCATCTAGTCTCAAGCATATTCTCATCAAGTCTGTGTTGTGCTAACGTTTCCCTCCCGGATTCTATTCCGTGTTAAACAGCTTCACGATAGGAGAAGTTACAACTAAGCTATTCTTCTGGCAACTGGCTTACTGTTGAACTGAGATGTATTTACAATCGGTATCGTCACTGAATGATGGAAACAAATTTTAATGAGGATCCATGTATTCAACTTTAAGCTTTTTGTATGTGTGATATTAGTGAGTTATACCACTCGGTTTCGCAATCAAATTAGGTTGAGCTTGTATCAAACCTCAGTATTGGTGATTGAAAGTTGGACATCTCAACCATTAGGGTAATACTTCACAATTAAAACTTTATTCTGCTTGACCAGATCAAGATATGGTATCAGTCAGTAGTACTTTCTACTGAATTGAGTTCAGTATATAAAAATGAAGACCAGTCGGTTAGAGCTCACGATTCAATTCATGATTGCAGATGTTAAGAGAAATAACAGTGAGACTATAATTTATGAACGGACCAGGTCTCGGATTTTGGCGCGAAACTCATTCATTCGGATAGAGTTTTGGTATAATAGCTGATGTCAGTTCGTGATGAAAACCCTAAATCTCATTTCTAACCTTAATCATCAACTGTAAATCATAATTCTAATTCATCACACAGGTTTACAACCTTCATTTGATCCTGATTATTAGGTGTACACTCTCTAGGTCAGTCTAGCGTCGCTCAAAGGTCGTTCATAAATTATGATCTCACCGAAATAACTCGAAGTCGGTTATGGTGTCTCACATATGTATATTAAACCATTCGTTGCCCTGAAACTACTTTAGGTTTTCCACTATGACTGTGACATTATTTCAATTTCTTTGTTTTTCACCTTGTTCTTTCTTCTGACCCGTTATACTGTTTATATGACGCATGATAATTCTGTGAGAGTTTTCAAATTCATACATACCTTCATTTATATATCTCTTATGTTCATTTTTATAAAGATTATCAGTGCAAATGGTTCAGGTGAATTAAATTTTGCTGTCAATGTTGAAACGTTAGCTTCTGTTAAGTTAACATTTCGAGGTTTAAAAGCTCGTAGTTGGATGAATTCAGAATCATTTTCAACTGAAATTAATGATTCAATTGACGAAGCTCATAGTACAATTTGGGATTCAAACGATGTTGATTTGGATAATTCAAAACAGATAAACAATAACGAAGATCCAAATAAAAAATTAGTGTCGATTAGTTTAGACTTACGACGTATTAGTCAGTTATTATCAAGTCCAAGAATTGCACCATCTTGTTTTGTTTGTAGTAAGTGTTTTTCCCTATTTTGATCCAAAATAACTTCATATCCCAATGCATATAGTTTCGTTTGTTTTATAAATTAAACTGACTAGGTTGAAATAATTGAAGTCGTACACAAACTCAGCAGTTGATCAGTTTTCTAAGTGAACACTTGAATCACTTTCCTAAGCATTTCTAATGACCCCCAGGCTAAATCCATACATTTTGAGCACGAAAGAAAGGGCGCGAAATATGGAAAGAAGGCTCTACTCCAAAGTTAGTACGTACAGAAAATTGAGGGTAGTTATAGCATCTCAGATGGTCTTGGGCTTTAAGACGGTACTGGAACCTTAATGAATATAGTAACAGGATAAGCAATCACCCAATCAGAAATATGACCTGTGACTCTTCACCTTCAACATATTGCTGAAAAACTTCTCAGTGTTGATTGGATAAGACTTTTCCCAGCGTTTTATGGGCTTTTTTTCGAGGAATACTCTGGATCTTCCCAACACTGGCGAAATCAACTCCTTAAATCACTTATTCATAATTATAATTGAGATTCATAGCTGTCCCCTGACGTATATATAATGTTGTCAACTGCGATGGAAATCGAAGATCTTTTGTTTAAATCCTACAATGTAACAAATGTCGTAGAATGTACCGCATATAAGACCACTTTCCTGTCCTTTATTTAAAGCGCTAAATGTTTCATTGGATTATGCTCTCATTTACCTTAATCGTTTTGCTTCTCTGTATTGTTGATGTGTGACAACTCAATCTATGCCAGAAATAATGATATTTAAAGCCAAGGGTGTTTCATTGTCTATATCAACACCTAGCTGACAAGACAAAACATTCACATTGAATCCTACTTTTAGCCAATACCTAACTTTACTAAAGTCTCCTGAAAACTAACCATCCTTAATCATTATAGCATTTGAAAAAACCAACGTAACCATGTGAATATTGTTTACTCTGTTATCTGTACAATAAATTCAGATGGTCATTATCATCTCAACAACTAAAATATTAGTCTGTTGTTTGCACAGAGACATCTTGCTTCACAGTCAGAGACGTTACCACTGAGCTATCCGAGCCGTGACTAACCTCCTGTAGGACTGAGATGTAATCACAATTGACTGATCACTGGGTGGTGATCAATGTCATGCTTGTCTAGTCCTTATTAGTGCAGATCGAATGCGTGACACGAGATCGAATCCGCCAGGGAGCACCAGTTCCCTCAAGATTACAGGTACACCTTGCTGACGAGTGCCAAGTAGCACGAAACCCGGGTCCAGGGTTTCCTGTTGACTACCTCCAACCACCATCTAAATCTCAATACATAGTGCCCGCAGTGTCGAGTCACCTAGACTGGTGGCCACATTGCAACATGATCGATAGCATTCGATCTGCATTAATAAGGACAAGACAAGCATGACATTGATCACCACCCAGTGATCAGTCAATTGTGATTTTGCTACAATGTTAAAGTAATTTATTCAATAGAATATGTATTTAACTATTGTGTTCAAGTCATTTTTTTCTTTCTTAACTCTTCTTCTTACAGATATTATACATGAAAAGTTAGCACAATTTCTAGTGTTATTTGACAATTATAAATTGAAATATAATATACCTGCATCTAATTTATAAAATAAATAATTATCCTCCTATATATAATCTCTTTTTATTGTGAATCACCTCACTATAATGAAAGATCACAATATATGGGAGAAATTAATGTCTTAGATCAATTAATCTTTACTCAGTTAAGTTTTATGTAGATGACATAGAGTTCATCGTTTGTTTGTCATCTCTATGCTCTATGCTTGTGAAACCTGGCCTCTCCGAGTTGAGGACGATAGACGAATCTCTGTGTTCGATCATCGCTGTCTCCAAAGGACTGCTGACATCCAGTGGCAACACCATGTCAGTAATGCAGAGGTTCGGCATCGTGTGTTCAGATATGGCTCAGAATAGAAGCCAGTGGCGATCCTGCTCTAACCTTCTTTTACTTTCTTCATAAAAAGTGGTTCTGTCCCCCTTACCTGAAAGATTTCTTCCGATTGTACCTTTGCGTTCCCTGATTACTAGCACATTACCTTACACCAATCTCTTCGTTATTGTTCTCTCTTTTTTTTGTTGCGCTCCTTAGCTTTTTTTTCTTTCTTTGTATTCCTCTCGAATTTTCATTGTTTTGTGTGGCGCATATATATTGGCGCTCTCCTGTACCAATATTCACGTGTCCAAATAAATAAATAAATTTATGTAGATGCTTTGTTCGTTATATTACACAGTAAAGTTATTATTAATATTATATGAATGCCCTGATACGGTGAAAGGTGGGAAGAGTCAGCTCTTCTTCTCGAAATGCTCTCACATGTTCATGTGTATACAGACCACTATCAGGGAAGTCCTACTCATGGCTTTCTTGTGTGGTGGGTGTTGTTTACGAAATTGAAAGAACGAAAAGCGAGTATCCGGGCTGGTGAATGTGGACTCCGGTATCCTGAGGAAGAAAACGGCGTATCGACTTATTGTTGCTCACTGGCTATCATGGGACTGAATCTTTAGACGTTGTTCCACTGCCTTGTAAATTAGAACTTCAGGTCGACATCTCTGGGTGTTGCCCCCTAATTAAACCTCTTGCTTCGGTTTGGGCACTCGGATAGTATTCCACTAATCACAATAACCGGATGATTTATGTGTTTTCGGTGCCGCCTTCTACCAATATTTGTGTGATTAAACAAATAAATGTTACTATAATTATTTGATTATCAAGTCTCTTATTAAATTATGAAATACTGGAAACATTTTAGAATTTACATTTCAGTTTTGTGTTTATCGTGTATCCAGATATTAAGTTCCAAAGGATATGTTCGAATTTTTAGGTTAACAACTGGTCATTATAATAATAACATTGGGTATAAACTGACTACCAAGTGAATCAAGAAATACACGATTTATGTTTATGATCTACTTCCGACTTGCGTTCTGAACTCAACTGGCCGGGCTAGACAGGGAAGCGGGACCAATCAGGACTCTAGGTCCCTCGCCCGTGTTTGCGCGTCTTTGGTCCGATCGATAATTCGCCAACCCCCAATCTGCAGCATTTTCACGTTAAAACAGATTGTTAATTTTTCGAAGCAAACAACCTTTCTGATTACAATTGTTATGTCAATGAATGTGGAAAAAAACGGAATTTATCAATGTCATCATCTTTAATGCAACAATTAATGATAATTTGGTAGTAGGGTAGATTTGTGGTCTTAGTGTACAGTAATATACACAATACCCTATTTGCATTTGGTCAGTTAGTAATTAATATACATGAATAAGTAGTTATTAGTGTCCAAATAAAAATTACTTAAATAGTGGTCTTGCGTGCTGTTAGAGGTATGAGGGCAGTTTTTACTTCCCGACTGCTGACACCGTGGAAGGATTGTTCTGGAGGTACTTGAAAGGGAAATTGGATAAGAGATGGCCTTAGTGATGTGATAGTGTGACCACAGTGCCTAAGGTCGGTCACACACCACCTTTTGGTGAATAATTTTCGTGTTAGCTCCGTACTTATTGAGACCTTACCACCGGAGACGGACATCTGTGGGATAAGGCGAGGTGTGCATTTTTAGGGTCGACCTATTCTAACCCCACCCCTCCTTGTGGGAAGGCAGCATCGCTGTCATGCTGATTTTCTGAAGGAAACACCTTACTGCTGTCACACCTCTGTACAGTCAGCAGTACGACTTCGCCTTCGGACCTTGGGTTTGTTGCTTTTAGTCTTACCGCTCATCAACCGACTTGTCTGACATGGTAGGACCTTGAGAAACAGTTGTTCCAGCCCGTATAGTTCGGTTGCTTCATCACGATAGGCAAGCCCGACCACTACGTCAATATAGCAACAACGGTCGGGAAATTACTTAAAAGAGATCTTTGTTTACATTTGTGTTATCAAGTGCTAATTGTGAGGCAGCGATTGGGATTGATCTACGTATATTGAAAGCTAGAGCGCGTTATGCTTATTTTCAGCTTTAATGATCTGACTAAAAATTCAGTTTTACAACACAAAGACGTTTCTGTTACACGATCATTACAACTTGAGGATTCTGGATAACTGTTAAATCACCATGGTCTGAAGTATCGCTCCATAAGTTATGCTCAAGTTTAACATGAGTTCTCTGACGTAATCAAGATAAAAATTTGTCCTCCTCCTAAGACACTAAGTCAGGCGGTTCGGACATACTTTGTGCATGTTGCCCCAGCAACAAATATGCAAATACTACTGACTCCAGGGTCATTTAGAAAATATAGTGTAATTTTTATTTATTATTTGAACACATAAATATCGGTACAGGGAGGCACTAAGTAGATATGCGCCACATAAATCATTCAGTTTATGTTAGTGCTGCGATACTGTCACGGTGCTCAAACAGAAGCACGTGGTTTACTTAGGGGGTCACACCAAGAGCTTTCGACCTAAAGGTCTGGTCCACAAGGCAATGGAGAAACATCACGAGATGCAGTCCCATGGTAGCCGGTGACCAATAATTGGTTCATACGCCATTTGTTCCCTCAGGATACTGAAGCCCATGTGCACTATTGATTTGGAATCAAGGTTTCCCAACTCCTCTAGTTGTATTCTCCAGATTCACCAACCTAGTTAAAGCGCCTGACATTCGCTTTTCGTCCTCTGAATTTCGTAAACAATACCACCGCCGTGAGAAAGCAGTGAGTAGAACTTCCTTGACAATGGTTGTATGCACGTGGCCATGTGAGGGAGAGCAGACTGTCCTCACCCTCGACTGTACCAGGGCACGATGTTACCGTGCAGTGAAGAACAATTGTTTTGAGTTAGCATCTATACGTTCAACACCATCTCTTTGTTAAATAATGTACTTCAATACATTAAAATACCATTAAATATAGTCAAGTATAAAAGCATTTAATAATTCTGGTGTAGTTTTCCACTAGATTCTACAAAATTCTCTCTATAATCCCATTAATAAAAGCAACAGGAAACTAATTAAATAATTCTTATTGTTTTAAATATAGTATATAAAAACAAAATCAAAATGTTAAAAAAAAATAAGTACACCGATGAAATCAGTGGGTTTGAAATGCATCGCTCGTACAAAATATAATTACCGCTTCTATTAATGACTAGATGATTCCGAGACCCAAGATATTAAAGTCTGAAATAAAATAACAAGAAGATAGACTGTAAAGAACATTGATTAAACGATTAACAATGAAATATGATTCGTTCGTGCACTAAACTAAGTATTTGTAAATTCAATACAATGGACGAGACATAATCTTCTCTATCCACCAACTAGAATGAGAAGTCCAAATTGGATAGAAGCTTCCTTGATAAAGACTGCGGAAGAATTTATTTTGCGTTTAAGGTAATCGATTGAGAAGTTACCGCTGAGCACAAAACCTCAATTGATTAGTCAATTACAAGGAAAAATACCAATCCACGAAACTGTGCGACCATCTTCCATTGTACTATGGTAGATACCTGTCTCTACCAGACACGATCTAGTGGCTAAGCGCTCGCGCACGAGACCGATAGGTCCTTCCTTCTTTAAACATCATATTGGATGATGTAACATCCAGAACAAAAGCTTATTCATCATAAAATGTTAGCATAATATGTATTTTGTACTAAATAAAAATAAGAAAAAATTGTTCATTCTATGATTGGTATAAGTTTGATAGGATCTGTCGAAATGCAAGACGACGACAACAACAATTTTTCTTAGGAAGAACAATACTGAACTTATACAATCTTCAAAAAATTCGAATATCATAAAAATAAACGTACACATTTTTGTATCTGTGTATGACAAATAATCTTAGACAGCACGTAAAAAACTGTCACAATTACAAAGAAATTAGTTAATAAGGAAAAACGAAAGAATAATTGCAGAAAATATACATTACCGGTTTATGGAAGCTAAACAACACCCTAAATGAACTTTTAATGTGATTCAGTAGTAGAGTTGATATCGAGACGCATAAAAGATACTAGTACTTTTGAAAGAAAAATTAACTCGATTAGTACAAGAGATTGACATATTCTGGTTACTCATATCATGGACGAATATATTTTCATATGCCTCTAAAAAGAAGATAAGAGTAGAACTAAATTTTTTGCCGACATGAAGATATCTATTTGAGACTAGTGAAACATGTGCATTTGGTTGAGTTAGCTCTATATATTTAGCGAACCTTATCCCCGGAAACGGAAATTCATGAGGCAAGTACGTGTAGTATATTTTAGGACCGACAGTTTATAACGTAGCTTTCAAAATATATGAAGCTACAAATAAGAAAGTTGTAAACGATTAATTTAGCTTGACGATAAATGCTTTCAACTATCAGTTGTTTCACTTTTGAACGCGTTTCAAACGTTATGGGTTTGTACAGTTCTTACACTTGACTAGATGCGTTAAATTTTGTTTTTAAAAAAAGCATTAATACTGTTAAATACTGCATACCTCATCATCTGTATTACGACTGACACCCATTACATGTCCACGATTTAAAACAACACTTTGTTCATAACGCGCGTCTAGTTTCGGTATGACGATGCGTCCAGATCTTGTACGGTTTAACTGTCTAACATCAACTACTTTACCTAAATATATAAGTATACAAAATAATGGGTAATTCCTTAAAGATTTGAATGAACTAAATACAAATTTTATTTGAAGGATAAGTAAATAAGCTGTTAGGGTGCTAAACTACAATTTACAAAAATCACACCAGCGTTAGACTGAAGTGGATAACTAAAAATGTTAAGGCTATTTTCTCTGAAGGATAAACATATATCTTTTAAATGTTCATTCATTAGAAAGTTCATTTATGTTATTAGTATCACGAACAGACCTAAGTTAAACATCCACAGAAAACTGAGCTGTATTTTTTTTATAGCTTCACCGTTTGCGGGCGAAACCGAAGGTCCTAGCCTCGATTCCTAGTGGCGGGGTCATGGATGGGTATTGCTGGAAACTCCTATGTCAGAATGAAACAACTGTCCAATGCATCCTATTTCCCAATATATGTCAAACTGAGAAAATTCTGAGGTCGGCCACGTGGTATTCGGTATACATGGCAAATCCAATGGCGAGATAGTGAATCTTTATCATCTGAAGTGGTTAGAACATGTATTATATATCGGGGATGCTAGATCACCATAAATCACTCAGTAAACGTCTGGTTTTCTGTAATTTTATGTTAGAGATTTGAATTTCTCGTTCTTATGCCAAAAAATCCCATTTCACCTTCGGATTGTATTTCCCACTTGGAAGGACCCCAAATGTCACTGGTTCGTTGCCTTTTAATATACAATTTCGTGATGTTTCCCAATGACCATTTTATGTTGTATATATAATGCTTGAGTTGTGTGCCTGCTTGAGGAATACAATTTTCCTTCATCTGAACCAGACCTTCTCCCTCTAGTTAGCAGGGTTGGGACGCATCGGAATAGTTTAGTTTATCTTGTTGATGTGTCAATGATCCTTCGTCCAGTTCGCCGATTTTAGGTGACCACGTAACTTCTTCAAATATAGCAGTGACTGATTGTGACCTATTACGATCAGTCATTCAGTTAGTCAGCTACAACGTAGGACCAGGCACATATATGCATCGGTCCAAGTTGCCACACCTCATTAGCACAACAAGATGAACACCGAATTCATAGAAGTAGTTAATTCAATGGTAGTAATGTATAAAAGAAAGATTGCATATAAGGATATAGTACAGGAAGAAAGAATTAGTCCATAGAAAGAAAGGTATAAAGCAATTTTAATCTCTCGGTTCAAAGGAAGATATAGAGTGTATACAGCGACTACATTGTGATCGATTCTGAGCCACGTCACCAAGAGTCTCCAACCATTAGTTACGATAATCATGCGAACTTACAGGGGCCTACGCACCCATTGACTGCAGCTCGGATCAAGTGAAAGATAACTTTTCCAGAAATTTTTCTGAATCTCTTCAGAATGCTAAACTCTTAAACATAATACTCGTAGCAGGTGACTCTAATGCTCAAAAAGACATTTAGGTGGTTATTTTAGTATCCCGACTCAGTGAACAGATAATGGTGATCGTCTGCTGCAACTGTGTTCAGACAGTCGTTTACACTTTTAACAAGCACTAATTTTAAGCATAAGGACAGACATCATCTAACATGACGACCGCCTGACACCAAACCAACGATAAACTCAAATAAACCATATTACCATTAGTCATGGTTGAAGAGGCTCAATAGAAGACTATCGCTCATTCTAACCCCTATGATAATCTATATTACTTAACATTACCAACTATAAACCATAATTATTTTACAAATTTCAACTATATTATAATTTTACATTATCTATAAACTATTCAATTCAATGGTTGAATAATTCACTTCATAAACCATATTTTAATTTAACTTATCTAATAAATAATAAACAAATAGAAATGAATAAATCTATACCAATTATTCATAATTCATTATAGAAAAAAAAAGAAAAGAAAAACCGCAACAAATAAAAAATATCAGAAGGGGTTTTGTGGAGATTTTATAAATTTCACTGATTGAAATCATGAGTCAATTAAAGCTAGACTACCATGGAAAACCTGGAAGCACTGGACGACCGTTTCGTCCTAGTATGGGACTCGTCAGCAGTGTGCATACACGATCCCGCACCCCGTGAGATTCAATTGAATCATGATTTCAATCAGTGAATTTTCTAAAACTCCACACACCCCTTCGGATAATAATCATCTACTCACTAGTGATTGACTTCAAGAGATACTCCTAGAGTTCTAGTGAGAAGCCGTTACCAGTATAGTTCAACCAGGTCTGTTGTGAGATATCAACTCACTGAAGACAATGGTGTACGGTGGCCCAACTTCGTGGATTGGTCAAAGTTAGACATTAACACCATTGGATGCCGGCTCAGTGGTCTAGTTGGTTGAGCGCCTGGCGCGAAACTGATGGGTCCTGGGTTCGAACCTCGCGAGGTGTGGGATCGTGGGTGAGCGCTGCTGAGGAGTCCCATACCAGGACGAAACGGTAGTCCAGTGCTTCCAGGTTTTCCATGATGGTCTGGCTTCAACTGACTAGTGATTTCAATCGGTGAAATAAAAAATTAGAGAAGAAGAAAAAAAGTAGTTTACAAACCTGAGGCTGTATATAAACGATAACGTTCATCAATATTGTCATCATCATCATTATCATCATTATTATTATCACTTTGATCATTGAATAAAGATTGATGATTTGATAATAAATTACGTAATTGACTTTTATTTGTTTGTTTTTTAATTTTACGTAAATTAGCTTTATCTGTTAATAAATATTGATTATTTTGTTTTATTGATTTTTTATTGATTAAATGATTTTGATCATTTAATGGATTTTTATCAATAAATTTCGATTTTCTTAATTTTTTTGATAAATGAATAGATGTTAATGGTGGATAATGATTTTCAGATACTGAAGTGAAATGAGAAAAGGAATCTATTGATGATAAATTATTATTATCATTTAATTCAATTGGTGATTTATTGTTACTATGATTATTTGTTTGAATACCTAAAAAGAGAAAAATAATAATAATGTAATGAAAAGGGAATAGTTTATCTATGATTATTTAATAATATTGAGATTTATGGAGAAATAGGTATTCATTATGAATAGGTGTCAGTTAGTGTTAGCGGGACATAGACTGAATTAAGGCATGCTCAATGCACGATTGCTTTGGTGTACGCTGATTGGCTAATTCTTAACCAATCAGCGTTAGCCAATACTCAGTGAACACTAGAAATCTCATGTGAAAAACTATAAATAAACTAACGTTTTCCCTATTGTACTACTTCTTTGCTTCTTAATTCCATCTAACCTTGTTATTTGGAAAATAATCTCTCTTCCTGTACAACCTTGTTTTGATTTGGAGGACTTGTCGAATGAACCGGTGTCTGAGAACACTAAGCAATAGGAATAGCTGGATTATAACCGTAAGAGAGAATTATAACAGTTAGAGAAAAGTACTGAGAATAAGAAGGACTAGATGATTGATTTGTTTTAATTTGAGATTCATTGAAAATAGTCAAATGAGAATATACTTTTTTGTTGATGAATTAATTCGATTTGTGGTGGTAGTTAGTGGGCTTTGTACGAAATTCAAAATGTGATAGTATCTTATTAAAAACAAAGTAAAAATCTTATTACTAAAACATTTAAAATTGTTAAACATAAGAATGCCAAGGAATACAGACCGACCGACAGGTTAATTGAAAGCGCTAAGACTAAAAGCAGCAAACCAAAGGTCCGAAGACAAAGTCGTACTGCTGACTGTACAGAAGTGTTACGGCAGTAAGGTGTTTCCTCCAAACAACCAGTATAACAGTGATGCTGCTTTCCCACAAGGAGAGGTGGGGTTAGAAAAAGTCGACCCTAAAAATCCACACCTCGCCTTATCACACGGATATCTGTCTCCGGTGGTAAGGTCTCAATAAGTACGGAGCTAACACGAAAATTATTCACCAAAAGGTGGTGTGTGACCGACCTCAAGCAATTGTCCCTTAGGCACGCTCTCAGATCACTAAGGCCATCTCTTATCCAATTTCCCTTTCAAGTACGTCCAGAAGAACCCTTCCACGGTGTGGGCGATCGAGAAGTGATAACCCCCCTAATACCCCTAACAACACTCAAGAAGGAATACAGACTATGATGTTCCAGCCAGGTTCGTTGGTAAAGTCTTTTCTAGTGAAGTCTAGTAGCACTTCTGAGATGGATTCTGTGTTTTCAAGGGGAACCGCTACCCCGCATCAAGAAGTGTAAGTGAAGGATTATTTAAGGTTTTTACTTACCCTGGGATAAATGTAGTCTACGTACATACTAGTTGTCGCACGGACTTTCAACCATGTATCCCCTTGGTATATATACAGGTATAACTACCCAGTAAGCGAATATGCATTACACACCGGTAACACAGGTTTTATCCCATGCATCTCATAGCATACAAATAGGTATATTCACTCACAAGGGAGGGTAGATTTTCACCGCTCCTCTTGAAACGTATTTGCTACAACAAATTGTCTCTTACACATTACGTGTATATCATTGGACCCATGGCTGCCGTCCCAGTAGTTCATGATACACATAAGCATAAGTACTCTCTCAGGGAGGTTGTTGGTCACCTCTTCCTCGTATTTGCTACTGTATCTTTTTGCTGTGTTCAACCTGAGAAATTAGGCCGCTGATTTTGTTGGACATAGGCTAACGAAACCCGATCTAAGGCCTTCTTGCTGTGCTGCTGGATAGTAGGGACAACCTTGCAAGCCAACTAAGATGGTCGAAGGAAATCGCACTAATCCACCACTCAGTTGTAACCTGGATTATTCAGGTCCCAACTTGAGGCTCACTTAAGCGCATCAGCTTACCTGATGTGTATGCCCCTGTATATGTATTGCAGAAGTTATCAGGTCTATATAGTTCAGGTATGTAGATATATGCAAAACGCACGCATGTGGTGTAGTACAATCGAAACGTTATCTGATTTACGAATTTTTGAAGGTCATCCTAAACGTCGCTGAAAATCTTCAGTAAAATATGTTTTTACCAACTCGCATGTAAAAATTTCGACGGAATTCAAATTTTAGCCTTCAGATATTGCAGTCAGTAGGGCACTTTTAGACCAAAAAGTTTAAATCAAAGGGTTCATATAATTTACTTCCACCAATTCATGATATACTTCGACTATTTTTTAAGTATTATGAGTAATAATTTACCAGATGGTAAATGAGACAGTTAACACTTATACAAACGAGTAATGGTCAAAATTACATAATAAATTGACAAATGTTGAATAGGAAAAATATATTTCAGCTTATTAGTCTGAGTATATTATGTTAATCTCAAAACATAAAGATGTTAAAAAATCAATCTCGAATTATTGTTTATTTATGATGCTGTGAATTAACAAACCACAATTTTAAAACGCTTTTAAATAATAATCTCTGACTTTCAGTGGTTTGTCAACACACAAAAACTAATTTATTAAATTCAGTTACTGTTATAGATGCTGAGGAATAATGTGCCAATCATTATCATGTTAAGTCTAATGATGTCCTTGGACTCTAAATGGGCATTCCCTATTGGCGATTATTTATTTCACTCGTTAAATATTGTACAGATGTTTTCTATTTTTATGGTACGATGTGGTCTGTTTGGTTGGTATATAAACAGAGTATGTTTGAAATATAACGATTCATATCTCAGAGGCTGTGACTTGCGTTCTAGACTCAACTGGCTGGGCTAGACAGGGGAGTGGGACTAATCAGAACGCTAGGCCGTTCGCTACGTGTTTCTATGTGTCACTGATTCGGTCGACAAATACGCTGCTTATCAAAACCTGCAGTCAACACGTTACAACAGTTACCACTTCATTTCCATTTGGGATTTCACTGATTACTTTGAAATATATGAAGATTAAAGGTGAAGTCATCGTCATAAAAATAACAAACGATATCCATTTTATATTAATAAATAATGAAGAAGATTTCCAGAGTGTGCCTGAGAAGTTTATTAACATCCTAAAAGCCCTACATACAAACACCTCAGGCAGAGTGAGGGCATACAACCACCTCTCTCCATTGTTCCATTCGAGCAGTGGGGTTAGACAGGGTTGCCCAATCTCACCATTCCTCTTCAACTTTGCCATCGATGACATTCTGGAAACAGCTCTGATGAATGTAAGTAATGGTGGTGTGGATCTATTGCCTGGAGAAAGACTTCTCGACCTTGAGTATGCGGACGATATTGTCTTACTGTGCGATGATACCCAAGGCATGCAATCCGCACTTAATCAGTTGGCAATCAGTGTCCGTAGGTATGGTATGTGCTTTGCACCTTCGAAGTGCAAAGTACTACAAGACTGGCAGGATTCTAACCCTGCACTCACTCTGGATGGTGAGCAGATAGAAGTAGTCGAGAAGTTCGTGTATCTGGGTAGCTGCATAAGTTCTGGTGGGGGTGTGAGTGATGAGATCAATGCACGTATAGTGAAAGTCAGAGCGGCTTATGCCAATCTGGGCCATCTTTGGCGCCTTCGTGATGTTAGTCTGGCTGTAAAAGGTCGGATCTACAACGCGTCGGTGAGAACAGTTCTACTCTATGTTTGTGAAACCTGGCCTCTCCGAGTTGAGGACGATAGACGACTTTCTGTGTTCGATCATCGCTGTCTCCGAAGGATTGCTGACATCCAGTGGCAACACCATGTCAGTAATGCAGAGGTTCAGCATCGTGTATTCGGGTACAGAGATGATAATTCAATTGGTGTCACCATCTTGAAACACCGACTTCGGTGGCTTGGACATGTTGTACGAATGTCGTCCCAGAGAATCCCACGTCGTGCATTATTTGCCGACTCTGGGACTGGTTGGAAAAAGCGGAGAGGTGGTCAGTATATGACATGGTGTCGTGGTATGAAAGAAAGCTGCAATGGGCAGGCTTGTGTTGGTCCTTGACGACTACCTGGCTGGGGTCCTAGAGATGGTGCTACACAGTGGCTAGAGACGTTATCAGATATGGCTCAGAATAGAAGCCAGTGGCGATCCTGCTGTAACCTTCTTTTACTTTCTTCATAAAAAGTGGTTCTGTCCCCCTTACCTGAAAGATTTCTTCCGATTGTACCTTTGCGTTCCCTGATTACTAGCACATTACCTTACACCAATCTCTTCGTTATTGTTCTCTTTTTTTACGCTCCTTAACTTTTTTTCTTTTCTCTTCGAATTCTCATTGTTTTGTGTGGCGCATATATATTGGCGTTCTCTTGTACCAATATTTATGTGTTAAAATAAATAAATAAATAAGATTTCCAGCTAAGATGGATACTTTTGTTTATATTATATTCTGAGTTAGATTTGTTTTATTTCAAAGTTTTCACTATCAATCTGAATATTATTAGCGCCTATTTCACGTGAAATTTTATGTTGAAATCCGTTGGTAAAACATGGCACAAACCCATGAATTCATTGACAAGTGGACTGAGTCATGTTGGTAGGTGCAGACTACCTGGTTGGGGACCGCGAGATGATAGCAACCGATGGTTAGAGACGTTGAATGACATGGCTGAAAGTCGTTTGCAATGGTGTGCGCAGGTGCATCCACTCTTTGTGTTCTCCCAAATTCTAATCTTCTGAATTCTCCTTGTATCTTTTTTTCCTCTTTCCAAATTTATTTCACTGGATTATACTCCTTGAATAACATCTTCAAACCCTAATGTTTCCGATTACTGCTTATACATTTACCACCCCTACCACTGCAGGATTCGAATCGACAACTGCATCTCTGTGCTAATGTGGTATGGCAACTGAAATGATGTACGTACGTACGAGGTTCTACGTTGATACTTACTGACTGAATGGTAATAGTACAATATTTAAAAAATGTAGGATAATTTCTATTTAGTACCATAATTAAATAGAACACTATGACTATGATCTTTATCGGTATACAACATTGTTAATGACTGACAACGATTGTTTAGATATCACTTTCTAACTCCACACAAAACTATTTTTAATTCGTACTATTGCAAGCCCAGGACTTTGGGGAAAAAGCATATTAATGCATATTATAACATGTAACTCACTCGTCTTAACAGGATCAGCAAGCTCCAAATCTTTTTCCAAATCACGAAATGTATTCCCAACAAATGAATCTAGGTCTACATCACGATTGGTTGGATTTAATATATGCTTATATTGATTTTCCTGAAATCAAAAAAAGTTCAGCTTCTTATACTGACATGACAGTTAAATGCATTTTCTACTACTGAGCTGATAAGAAGCACAAAAAACTAATAGATCTATTGTTTTTGATTGAAATCATGAACCGATTGATGCTAGATCACCGTTGGAGACCTGAAAGCACTGGACGGCCGTTTCGTTCTATTTTCGGACTCCTCAGCAGTGCGCATTCACGATCCTGCTCGCGAGATTTCAACCCAGGGCCTTCAGTCTCACGCGCGAACGCTTAACCTACTGGACCAATGAGCCAGCATCCAATGGTGTAAGTGTCTAATATTTTTGATAGAACATTGTTAATAGAATAGAATCCTGAGGATTGTATGTTCTGTGCACGTTCAAATCTGAATATGTCTGTTAGCCTGTTTTCAATCAATCAAATTGAGAGATTGCGAGGGATTCTCCATGTGAATTTTGTATAAGCCTTAATGTTTTCATGAATATACATTTGTTATACCAGTTTATCGAAGTATTTCTTATTTCCACTTATTCTAATCCTGATGTGGATCAAGCCGATTGAATTGGTTAAAGAATATTAGACAAACAAGAAAGTAATAATTATCAACAATTGTATTACCAATAAAATTAGATGGTAGCACTGAAAATGATACCCAATTAATCTAACCTATTCTTATTAATAATTAACTTGAAATTTCTTAAATTTTAGATAGGATCCAATCACTTCTTTTACATAAAGAACTGTTATAGGATGGACAAGAGACTATTTAATGAAAAAGAAAACTATATAGAAATAATTCACTAAGCAATTAATAGTGAAAACTGATGAGCATCAGAAGGGGTTTTGTGGACATTTTAGTAGAGATTCTAGGGAATACGCACTGCTGAGGAGTCCCACAACAGGACGAAACGGCCGTTCCGTGCTTCCAGCTTTTCCATGGTGGTCTAGCTTCAATTGACCGATGACCTCAACTATTGAAAAACTGATGAGTTGGTGCTGCACATTGTTATAGGGTTAGATTTAATCCTATAATTTAAATGAGATGTAACACTGAAAGATTTGAAATATATAATGAGTAAAACAACCCACTATTTAAGATCAAGAAACATATGAAACAATCACTTATACAAATAAATAACACGACACTTGACACAAGTGTACGTCAGTTCAGGTTGTCACAGTTAGTATGGATACAACAAAATGAGATCACCAATCGGAAAAGTGACAAAAAAGCTAAAGAGAAACAAAATGTTGAAAGGAAGAGTATCATCTCTAAAATCTAGAGTAAAGTAAAAAACAAATACAAGCAATTCTGATCAATACGATTTGATTTTCAACAAAAGAGTAGTTATTTTGTAGAGCTCATTAGCCAATATGGATCGGACTATGAGCGGACGATTCAGTGAAATGGCAATACTGTTTCAATAAGATTACCATCAATTCTTACCGTAATAAAGTTGAATAGGACATTCATCAAGGATACCGTTTATTGCTGTTACCTTGAGCAACGATTTTTACCTATACCATTACATGACAGTGTGACTTCAAGTAGAAATACCTTACTAAAACACGTAATATACTTGTCCGAGGTTTATCTCAAAAATTGACAGTTCCAAATCGATAGAGAGACACGCCATCGTTAAATCAAAGAAAATAGGCGATGTAAGGCGTCAGTAGATGCGCCTGCTTTAGGACCCAGTGAAAAATGGAAATCCGATCGATACACCATTAAAACCTGCCTAGATAATTTGCGATTCAACTACACACAGAAAGATTATAAAATATGTACTTTTGAATATTGTATTAGACAGATTAATCCTTTCGTTATTAATGGATGAGGTTTTGGTTTCTCATTATGAACTGGAATGATCGACAGCTGGAACTAGTCCCCTTGAAGGGCTTTAATCATCACACCGTGGTTAGTGACCTTTGATCGTCTTTCTCAAACATTTGGGCCGTGGTACGGCCGAGAGTGGAAAGAGTCGGCGCTATATATCCATCTAACAACGAAAGGATGAGTTTACTACATGACAGTTATCTCCGTTCTACTTTATGGATGTGAAACAGCAATTAATAGTAACGGATATTCGTAGGTATGTCTCTTGATCTTGAATGGCATTATCCATTTTCAAGTACCTTTCTACTCTGTCTTTCCAAGCCATGTTTCCAAGGTTGAGTATTTCTTCTTATCATTACCACATTTCGACCTATTTTGTTATTTTCGTTATCATACCACGCTGGCATAGGAACTTAGACCAACGTACATCTGTACTATGCTCTATGTTAATATCTTTTTTTCTATCTGTCTTTATTTATCTATTTGAACACATAAACAATAGTACAAGGAGGTAGCAAGTACAATGAGGCCAGTAGCAGTTATCATTCATTTGTGTGAGGGCTGTGATACTGCCCAAGTGCCCAAACCGAAGCAGGTGGTTTACTTAGGGGGTCACACCAAGAGCCTTCAAACTAAAGGTCTGGTCCACAAGGCAATGGAGCAACATCAGGAGATGCAGTCCCATGATAGCCGGTGACCAATAATTGGTTCATACACCATTTGTTCTCTCAGGATACTGAAGCCCATGCGCACTACTGATTTGGAATCAGGGTTTCCCAACTCCTCTAGTTGTATTCCCCAGATTCACCAACCTAGTTAAAGTGCCGGACATTTGCTTTTCGTCCTCTGCATTTAGTAAACAACACCCCCACCGTGAGAAAGCAGTGAGTAGGACTTCCCTGACAATGGTTGTATACTCGTGGCCATGTGAGAGCATTTGGAGAGGGAGAGCTGATTTTCCCTACCCTCGGACATTTGGGGGCAAGGAATGTCATAAATCTTACTACTGTCCCTCAGTCTGACTCTGTCTACCGATTTAGGATTAAAATTGCATGTTAAAACCACTACTTCCGAGCATCTGGTTTTCTGAAGGATATCATAGTTTTCCGTAAAACTTATATTTCACTCTGCCCAAGCTGCGGTCATTGGAGGCAGAAGCAGAAACGACGAGACGACGGAGTGTATCCTTATCACTCCGAGTTATTACCACGCAATTGAAGTGAACAGCACATGAGTGACTTGCAATAGGAATCCAGTCCAAGAGTACTTGATCAACTTTCAAATTTAGCGGTTTACCTACAGCTGCAAGACCGTGAAAAGTTCCGTCGTATTTTCAGATACACAAAGGGTACATTGTACTGACTTAGTGAGGTTAGCTGAATCACCGAATGAGGATGTTCTAAGTGTATTTCGGATACACTGTACTACCCTGTGTAGTTATCAATACGACTTCACTCTCGGACCTCAAGTTGCTGTTTTTAGTTTTACTGCACTCAATAAAACGTGCCCGGCATGGTAGGAACTGGAGGAATGAATATTCCAGCCAAAATAACCCCATTGGGTTATCATGATATGCAAACCCGACAACCAAGTCAAGGTAGCAGTTATAGCAGGGTAACATCTCGATAGAAAATAGAACAGACTAGTTACAACTAAACAAATTCCAAATGTTAACTGGATAAGGTGAAACCTATCATTTCATCGGAAAGCAACATACCAGAAGGAATTCACAAATACCAAAACCTTAATACAGGACGACTAGTTGCGAAAACTCACTTCGGAAAGGGCAATGAAGTTGACACAAATTTTTGAAGTGAATTATTGGGAAAACTGAATCTAATTGAACCATTTACTAGCAATGACAGCACAAAATATGAAACAATTACTAATGATGAAAGCAAACAATGAATTACCTTTGGCAACCTATTGGCACAAATAGGACTTGGCATATTTATAGGTTGTACACTAGAACTAATGACTACAGATTCCTTAACCCCTTCGGAAGCAGTAGATATAAAGTAGTGCAGTCCTTGAGTCCAACTCCTCCAATTATGTGCAGGAAAACCATTAGAAAATGCATCAACTATTCCAGGAGGAGGTGAGTTAATTAACAGCATAGGATAAAGTGCACAAAATGTTGTCCAAGAAAATCCCCCACGTAAATAATATATATTGTTACCTTCCGTGCATACAATCTGGCCATTTTCTGAAACATATGACACACGATTAGTTACTACAAATCTACAAGACATTTGATTTGGTCTTCTTTCTATTCCAGCAAGAGAACAATCTCCATCTACTTGTAGTCCGACAGGACACCATGAATATAGTTCAGACGATAATGAACATGGTATATTTAAACGATTAAGAGTAGGCCTTGATGACTTGGGCGTTTTACTGAAAAAGTAATGTCACAGACTACCAGTATACCTACCAATATGTATCGACACTTCGGGAGATATCTGGGTTTTCATTAAGTTTAGGTAACAGTACAAAAGGGGTTTGAGCAACGTAATCATTTTTCGCAGAAGGGAGACTGGTTGTATATTCCGAACAACCTGGTACTGGGTGAAATTTCACAGATGGAACAGACGATATATTGAGAATATTTTGTTTATCTGTTAGTCATTCAATTAGTCAAATTCACATTTACTCTGTTCAAGAAAGGTAAGAAAATCGCGTACAGCTTTCAACATAGATTCTAATGTTTCCATGGCTCTGCTTGAATTGATGGAAAATGTTTTTTGGATGCTTTGTCCAAATATGGAGACAAGTTACATGCAGCTGACAAGCCTAAAAGCCCTAGAAAAAAACCAATAAAATATTCCCAAATAAAAATGAGGTATTATCTAAATAATAACTTTACTATGCAACACAAATATTTTACTAATCAAAATCGACTAATAAATTTTCTTCAAAAACACGATTGAGCAGAAAAATCCGTTATATATTACCACAAATAAAACGATGTACAAGGTGATGTTGAGATGACCTGGTGGATCTGGTTGGAAAATCATTAGAAGTTGCCGCTCTAGCTTCATGACAAGGTTAGAGTTCCGCTACTAGCGAAAATGTTCCCTCGTGAAACACTTTTCAACCGTCAATGAATTACAATTAATCCAGGACCTTTAGCTGTTACATTTTGAAACAACATTGTTGGAAATCTGGGAATTAGTTTATACTATCAACTGTATACGTATCTGGGCCAACGTAATATAACACGTATCAAGTATAGGTTTTGTACTCAGCTAACCTCGTCCACGTAATACCAGTTCCCACAAGGCAAATCTTAAGAGTAGCAGTTTGCGTAAAACTCTGACAAAACTCTATTATAAACCAGGATACAATACAAATCAAATTTGTTTTATTCAGTTACGTGGTCAAGAAGTTCACAATGATAAGTCATAGATGTAAGAGACATCAACAGTTTGTGATGAATAGGAGGTATGCTTTCAACTTATATTTGACAGTGGAATTTTAGCTACTCCTTGAGCACTAATGAGATGACTGGAAGGATATTATTTGGTCTGAAGTTAGAAATATCAGCTTCTGAAACCAACTTTGTGACAGGCAGTATTGATGGTATTCGTCACCCGACGAAAAACTTCTCCAGCCAGAACCTAACATTGTTGGCAACTCGACCTCATGAATAAACCTGGAATTTCCTGAAAATTAATCTCACTAAACTTTAAGCAACCTGCACAACATGGACGTTTTGGTTTTTAATATTATACCAATTAAAAGAAGCACCACTTAAATCTCAATTCTGAATAAGAAAACAAACAAATATCATCCTTTTTTCACTAATGTGCATCAAAATAAAACGTTGGTTTGTCTCATAATCAATTGCATCTCCTAACAGCCGCAAAATTTGCAGCAGCTAGGGAGTAGATACTTAAACAATCAAACGTCTAAAAACAAGCCTGTTACGTCTGCATCACTGTAAACAATAACAATGGTGATAACCATAAATTTTGTTAGATATCTACTTCACGAAGTTGAACTCCTTTCCTTGAATGTAATTGGTTCCTACCATATCAAACGTTAATTGGTATATCATGAAAAGATCCTTCCATGTATGATCTTTCAATATCATAAACGCCCGTACCAATTTTGCAAAACTTATAACCGAATATCAGAGTAGAAATACTTTACACTTACTCATAACGTCTAAATACAACAACCAATACAAGAAAGTCATGCATCACAATAAACTTCCGTTTTAAAATTCCCTCGTACGAAAAACAAATTCAGATATCTACGTAACCAGCTTATAAAAAGCCAGTTGATTTTTTGTGCTCGTTTCCCATTGTTACTGTACAGTCTCATTTAATTTGTGGTTTTAAGTGGTAGTGGTAGTCTAGCAACTCGATTGCACAAGTAAATTATTGATCACAGTGTGAGTAAATGGTTCAAATGGTTCAAATGATTGTGGACGGAATAGAAGAAGCTTTAGCTTAACAGGCTTCCGTTTCTAGTAGCAGGGGATCACCAAATCCTCCAGGCAGAAACCTAGGTATGTTAACAATAAAAAAGGAAAAGAAATTGGTAAATCATAATGTGATGCTGTCCTTAGTCCTTCAGAATAGATCAAGTTGCCTCTTAAATGACTCCTGGGAAGTCGCTTGGACTAGCTCGGCCGGCAGCGAATTCCAGTATTTGACAACTCTTAAGGAGTAGAAGTTATGTCTACAGTCCGTTCTGTTATGTTGTGTCTCCAGTTTTTGGGTGTTACCTCTTAGGTTAGTGTTGTAACTAGGCTTAAGTAGGTGTTTGAGAGGATGTCCAGAAGTGTTAAGGATACTATAAGCCATCAGAAGGTCACCTCTAGGACGTCTATACTCTAATGGGTAAAGGTTAAGTGAATAGAGCCGCTCTTCATAAGGTTTGAATTTGAGTCTCCGAACTGATTTTGTGGCTCGCTCCAGGGTGTCCTTATCCTTTTGGAATGAGTGGGGAAATACTATGTTTCCGTACTCTAAATGGGAACGGATAAAACTATTGAAGATTATATGGAAAGTTCTTTCGTCAAACTGGCCAAAAATGCGCCTCAATGTTACCAGTGCAAGCTTTGCTCGGAAGGCATTTTTTTCACAGAGTATGACTTCAAATCGTAAGATACCAGCACTCCTAAATACTTTTCGACTCGGGATACTACTAGGGAGGAGTTTCCTAGGTTGTAACTGTAGTCTGCGACATGTCACGGATGGACTACTTCACACTTTGAAGTGTTAAAGTCCGTTATCACCTGTTCAAATTTGAAGTGGGGTCAGATCCTCCTGAAGTGCCTGCATATCGTCTTGGTTGCGTATCTCTCTCCAAAGTTTCACGTCGTCGGCAAAAAGTAATAAGTCTGACGACACCTGTTGAGGAAGATCATTTATATAAATCAAGAAGAGAGGAGATCCTAGTACTGAGCCCTGGGGGACCCCACTAGGACATTCCATAGCCTGAGATAAAGTGAAATTAACCCTAACCTTAAAGTGTCGATTTTTTAGGTATGAAGTAAGCCAATCGATTAGAGGTGGTTTGATAACTAGTCGTTTGAGCTTATTGGTAAGACACAAGTGGTTAACCTTATCAAAGCTTTTGAGAAATCAAGGTAAATGATATCAACCTTTCCCTTGCGATCGAGGATGCTTGTCCATCTGTCCACCGCAGTCAGCAGGTTGATAATACAAGAGTATCCCTTCCTGAAACCGCGCTGTTGGGGTGAGAAGAAATTTAAGGACAGTAAATAGTCATTTATACCATCGCATATCAGGGACTCCATGATTTTTGAGGGTATGGAGAGAAGAGCTACCGGTCGGTAACTTGAAGGTTCTCTGCGTCGACATCGTTGTTGGTCGGGCCATTAAGACCTACAAGTTGGGAAACTCCAGTTTTGGCTTGACGAAGAGGGGCTGCATAACGGAATAAGCTTTTAGAATTAGAGGCAAATTTGTCCATAAGCTTTGTCTGGTACTGAAGCCTGTCTTCTCTTATAGCCTTCGTGCATATGTTCCTGATATGTTTATATTGCCTGTACGCTCCGTCGTTATCAGTTCGTTTGCATTCCGCCCAACAGTGCCTTTTGCGGCTTAGCAGGCGGAGGGTAAGGTTCTTGATTATATTAGGTGGCTTGCAGCTTTTGGGAGCCGTTTGAGGAACTGAATGGTTTGTAGCACGTAAGAGCGTGTGCAGTAAGGAGTCATAATGAACGTCCACATCGAGTTGGGGGTGAATATCCCAAACCACCTGTTGTAGATAGTCGTATAAAGCTGGCACATTCAACCGTTTGAAATTCCAACGCAAGTTATTGGTGGGGTATCTTAGCTTAGTTTTGCCGACAAAACTGAAGGCTATGACGGCATGATCGCTTTTTCCCAGGGAAGCCAAGGTTGAGAGGTTGTCAACTAGAAATTCTTCGTTTGTGAATACACAGCCTGAGCGCGATGACGTCTGACTGTTTCTCCAATGAGTTGCCGACCTCAAATTTTCGTATAATCCCAAGTCATCGAGTGGACGGAAGTGTTAGAATGGAGAGAATATAAAAACAAGACAGGGATAAGCGAGTGATACGTGGTAGTTGTAGCAGTAGGTAAGTTACGAAACATGTACCAGGTATGAATAGTCCAAGCGCGAGATGATAATCTTTGGTTTAGTAGACATTTATCAAGTCTTCAATTGATGCCATCCTATGAGGAGTATCTGGACACTTCCGAATGCGGACAATTACTAATGAGAAGGAGTGAGACTACATGAGCTCTTGCTTTTCGATAAGCAGTTTGCCGAGGATTGATTCGAAGTGCATGATGGTGATGAAGACGGCACAGGTATTCAGTGTTTGACAACGCTTTTATCAGTAACACCTAATATAACTCGTACCCACCAAGAGAAATCAAAAGACAGAATCGAGGAGATCAGAAGTTGTATTTGACGATTGCCAATATATCAGAACTGACTGGTCTAGTCTGGTTAGCGATTGCAGTAGATGTTGAGCACGGCGTTCCCACACGTGATCGACACGTAACAAATATTCTACAATCGCATACACAAGTGCTTAGATCGACTTCATAATGCTTTCTACATGCTCCCTAAGTTCACCGTTTTGTCGCAGCATATGCACTGCCTGCTTTCGAGTGCAACCTGTAATACATTTCTATACACTTACCAGTGGAGAGTTGGGCTTTCATAACTTTGATACCAGCAGCGGTAACCTGCTTACCAGTTCTCTTCTTAATGCTTTCTATAACTTCTTCTGTTGACTGAGAGTGCAATATTACTGGCTTCAAGTTTTCTTTTTCTTTGAATGACAAGCTTCTACTTCACGGATCACAAACCATCCATAAACTACCACAAGGATGGCTATGAGACATGTTTTAAAATTTTATGCCGTATTCTTGACCTTCCAATCTTACACGAAACCTATATAGGCAGTTTAAAAACTTAGACCTTAAATTTCAAAGGTAAGTTAAATTCCTCACGGTTTTTTACTCACCGTCGGGCCTGCTGATTTACGTTTACGACTAAACGTGTAATGAAACACCACAAACACGTATTTCTACCTCATATCCTTGGACAATTTACTTTTTGCGTGAACATAGTGCGTATGGATAATCTGAAGAAACATAGAATTATTCCTCCATACTTCATGGAAATCCTTTAGCGCACTATCAAATTCAATCCAGCTTCCAAATTGCTTTTCAGCATAATGCGTTGAAACGCCTCGCTT